TCTCCCTCGCCTCCGCCACTTGATCCTCCCGCCGACTCCATCGCCGCGATCGATGAAATTCCCCCCAATTTTAGATCCCCTTCCGACACAACTGCGATTACAGTGGACGGCGAGGGAGGACGGAGCTTCGAGCACTGGTGAGGGTTTGTTCCCTCTTCGGGCCGGTATCGAGGAGTTCCTTCCAGGTGAATCTCGAGGCCCAGGAGGAGGTCGAGGTTGCGGATGCTCGTCGTGGATCTGTAACGAGGAGAAGGAGGCAGGGGAAGGAGGGAGTTGTTAACGGTTGTTCGGAAAAGAGGGAAGATTGCAGCAGGGGAGATCAGACCCGACGTCAGATTTGATTTGGGGAGGCTAATAATGATTTGGTTTGGGGAGGTTGAAGAAGAGTTGGAGGGGAAGAGGAAGAACTCTTCGAATTCGGGGTTGAAGAAAAGTTGGAGGGGAAGACGCTTCTTTCAACATTTTTTTTTACTTTTCTAATTTGTTAGTTTTTAAATTAATCAGATTTTGAAGGAAAAAAAAATAATATTTAATGATGTGGCATCTACATGGCAGAGACCTTTTTTGCCATGTCAGTGAAAGTCAACATTTCTGTGACTTCCGTCTAGTTAATCGTTATCTTTAACGGTCAACGAAATCGTTAGAACATAAATGACACACAACTATAATAGTTGAGGACACAAATGTCATATTGGATACTTTAGGACACAAATGACACATTCTTGATAGGTCGGGTTTCCTAGTGGTATTAGCCCTTGTTTAAATTGATAAAGTTCTATTGGTTAATTATTAGCATTGCATGTTTTTAGTATTGACGAATACTTTTTCCCATATGAGCAAGAGAAAGACGAGAGGGAAAATTTTGCCAAATTTTGGTGATCTAGGTCTCCATTTTGGGTTTGGCTAGCCGTGCCGGCACCTACGCCAGTACTATTACTTCATCTTCTCCGATCATTTACGTTGCCTGAGTTTCGTTATTTCAGTCTTGGTTAACAACACTTGCGTTTGTGACTAGGTTCTAACTACACTCCCAATCGAAGGGCAAGAAAAACCTTCAACCGGGTGTAGTATAGAGCATATATTTTTTGAATTATCAAACCCGAGCGGTCAATGTATCCTTACTTTTGCAAACTACAAATTATCTAGCGATAGCAAATTGTTTTAAGCTAATAAACTAAATAAACATGCAAGTAAAACAAAATTGTATTACCTTTAAGAAAACTTCACTCGGATGAGTTTCATCCTAGTCCTATGTTGAGTTGATGATGTGACCCCTAGCACGACCCACACTGAGCATACACTGTAGGGAGCTAAAAGCTATATATGAGTCCTTATTTGAGTTGTCCTATCCCGCCTTATTGCGCTACCTGGAGAGGCGTACCGAATACCAGCACAGGAAATTGAGGCAACCAAATCTACTCCCACCTTGGGCATTGCCCGATAATCACCCTCTTCCATAGACCCCAAGTGTTGATGCTCTCAATTGACCCTATAGAGAGCTTTTCTCTCTTAGGTCAATTAGCCCCAATTTGGGAGAAGTGATCAAGAACTCCCAACTTCCATGGATAATACACCAATCGATCATGCAAATCAACACATGGGGTTCACAATCATTCAACTATAACATTATAGAATAGGGTTCTACATCATCCTAGTGAATAAGGAGACTACTCCATGCCTAGTGTGAGAAACACAACCAAATAGAAGGAAATCATCAAGGGAATATGGATCTCTTTCTCCTTCGTTGCTTGAGATGATCTTGGGGATGGAATCAAGCTTCCTTGGGTGTTTAATAGCTCAAATTCACCTCCAATATCCTTTTGTTCGGTACTTTCTCTCTCCAAGGAAGAAGAACCCAAAAACTCTATAAAAAATCCAACTCCCTTTTAAATATGATCTCTTTTTCCTTTTATACTCGATAGTGAAATCTTCACGGTCTCCCGTCATGCATGTGAAGTCTGTAGTGAAACTGCAATATCACTACAACAATTTTGGCCTTTTATGACACATAAATTTTGTCACATTAGGTACCCAATTTGTCAGTTTTATTATATTATGATGAATAAGTGTTGTCATAACGGTTGTCACAAGATCGACGTTGTAATAGATGTGGTGTGATAAAATCGTACACCGCTTATCATAATAGATTAATAGATAACATGACCATTAACTGTTGTCATAATAGGGACAGTAATGTGACGAAGAGTTTCGTCAGAAAAAAGCAAATAGGGACAATAATGTGACGAAGAGTTTCGTCAGAAAAAAGCAACTACTTTGTCATAAATTATTGGAGCTTATCACTAGAAACATTTTTTCTTTTGTGCCTTTTTGTGACAACCACCATTTGATATGACGAATACAGTTGTTAGTAGGCTTGCCACATTTGACATCCTTCATAATTATTATCATTGCATAACTGAAAATAGTATTTTGTCGCTAAATACCTATTACAATGACAATCATTTTGTCAGACAATTTTGTAAAGCTCCACAGTTTATAGCTGACCATTTGTCATTTTGTCATATCATTATTAACTAGTGACGACATCTGTTTGACATGATTCTGGTATTTTGACAAAACGCAATAGTCATATGCAACATTTGTGACAAAGTATTTTGTCAAACCTGATTCTGCATATGAAATATACAAAAAAGGCTAAATTCAAGCATTCAAAAGATCATTCATAACTAGACAATCCTGTAACTTTTAACAATAATACGTTTGTAAATCCAAATTCAACCATTCAAAAGATTAGTAGCATCATTCCAACATAGAATTCTAACAAGTATAGGTTTTAGATCATTCATAAGTTCCAAATGGCTACCTAGCTTATACTACTAACTTAGGCATCCACAAAATGGCTAGTTTCTGCTTCAAACGTTGACATCCCCCAGAAGGTTTACATATTACAACTTGAAATCATCGACAATTGCAAGAAGAGAATGACAAAAACATAGTCATTACTTACTTGCTCTCCAAATTAACTTGTAATAACAATTATACATGCTCACCTAAAAACACAATTTCCCATAAAGCACTTGTGGTGGTCTATCTAAGTCTTAGCCGATATTGATAGTAAAGAATAGTTACCTGCTAGGGCTAAGACCTTCCATACTCATTGCCCCTTTGAGTTTTGCAGTGAAAGACTCCATCTGCTTCTGAAGCTTATCTTGTGAATCTTTCAGCTTTTGCATTTCCACACCTTGCATCTGTAACTTCTCTTCTTAAATCTTATCTTCTCTTCCTGACCTTGTATCTTTTCTCCAAACTCCTTAGTTCTTCATTCCGATTCAGCTCCCTCTGCTTCCAGTTCTGCTTCCAACTGTACCTCTCGAGGTGTACGGGCCGTTTCCTTGGGTCCATATTTCACTCTCTTCTTCAGGACCATCTCAATAATCTCGCGACCCGACAATGTTTTGCCAACTGCCTTTGCTTGGGCATGAATATCTTGATGCTCCTCCTACATGAAAAACATTTGGTTACAAAATTCAGTGGTTTTTTAATTACTCTAGAACAGATCTTACTGCATCAGCTATTTAACTTACATAATTTGTCTTAGGTTCCTCTCTCACCCAGCTTCCATCGTTCCTCTTTTGTGTTTTTGCATATAGTGTAATATCTATGGGCTCTTGATCCTCTTCATCAACTTGCCCCTCCACATTGTGCTTGGCTGGTCAGGAACCTGCTTCTTCTTCTTATTCTCCTAATGAAGTTAAATTTTGCACAACATGAAAATCATTAGCTGCGCAAAGTAGCTGGTAAACAACATCTTAATTAGACAGAAGGACAATAATAGACTTTACCATTTCATACACCCTCTGATCATGGGATTTAGCTCTTGTGGTATGAGCAAACCTTTGCTTACTCTTGTTAAGTATATTTTGTTTACTACGTTCTGTAAAAGGAAAAATCAGTAAACACATACGGATTGGAAAATGAACATGTCTATGACTGAGAAGTGTTTTACCGGAATTAATCACTCTCAAGGTGATTACGCAAAAGCTCTCAATCCTCTTGTTTCACAGCAGGTGGAGGGTTCAGCCAAGTAGTGGCAACACCTCCTTTGCTCTTATAGTGGTTGTGACAATGGTGCTTGTAATCCTTGAACCTCTTGTGCATTTTTGCTTCTAATGTCTTCCTTACATCTTCATTAGAAGAAGCTACTCAAAATCACTCTACATTATAAAAAATTGTTCAAATTAGTCTATAGTTAATAGGAAACCACTAGTGCAATAGAGACAAGCACATGTCTAAGTCATAGTTTTTCAGTAAAACTAGAGTCATCCATTTTACCTCCATTTTTGAAAACAGAGGCTACTTGTCAGCTTCAGTCAATTAAGACCATTAGTATTTTCCAATAGGAGCCATCAAACATGTCACGACACCTATCTCACTCTTCAACAAGTTCTCATTAGGGCCAAAAAGGCTTACCCGTTTTCCTGGATAAAGACTCCACCAATCTTATTACCATCTTGCACTCTTTTCATGACTTCATACCCTTTGGAAATTCCCCTGTTTTTGGTCTTTGATGTACCTAATTCGACACAGTTAAAAAAAGTATAAGCGTGCATCCATAATCTATAGTATTTGCAGGAAAAAAAAAATACAACCTTCAGTTGGTGTTGGATCGGGCTCCGAAGTGGGACAATCCGTGGTATTGGAGTTTTCAGCTGTTGTCTCATTCTCCATAATATTTGGGACCTCAGAACTCATAGTGTGCGAGTTTGTTTCTTCTGGATGAGCCCTTGGCACTCGGTAAAAAGTGCCCAATGTCTGCCCCTCAGACTTTCGCTTCTTAGAAGGCGCCATAGCCTCATAATTGTCAACAGAAAGACACCACACATTCAAAGCATACACGATAAAATTAGTGTAAAGTCATGCTCCAAACGTGGCATTAATGCTAAGAAACCATAATTGATTATGTAAATGGCAGAATACAAAAAATTAATTTGTTAGGTAAAGAACGTTCATATATAAGTAATTGCAAACTGCCTACTTGTCATCTTCCTTATCACTACAATTAGCATAAAGTTCATTCTAGTTTTCTGTTTCACAAAGATCGTCTCCAAAGTCATATAGTGTGTCGTCCTCCTCGTCCTCACTAGATTTCTCGAGCCGAACTTCCTTATCTATTGGTCCAGTTAGATGCTCACTCATCGCAGAAAGAGCCTCATCGTCACGGCTAAGCAAAGGTATATCACTGTCATCCACTTCAGGCCCAACAAAGTCGACAGTTTCATCTTACTGGTATGGTTGGTTACTATACATAGATCCATGTTTTCCTCTCCCTCCTTCTAAAGAACATCATACATATTCCTTGGAGATACTTTGTATACGATATGCCAACGGCCACCATTTTTTATATCTCCAATGTAAAAGACTTGACTCGCTTGACTAGCTAATATATATGGGTCATGTGTATATGATGACTCGGTATTTGCACATGTTTTCCCCTTTGTTTATTGATTGTTTGAGCTTGAATTATTATGTCTTTGGCCTATTTTACACTAGGTTGTGTTCCTTTGTCACATTTCAGGTCCTAGCACATAAAGTTAAGCATAGGCGCAAGTTTCAAGTCAATCAGAGATCAATTGACGATTCGAGAGAAGAAACTCGGGCATGACCTGAAGAAGAATGGATTTATACCTCACTTTATGGACAAAGAATCATACAAGCTTGTCATGAAAAGAAAGAGGACAAGACTACGAGCGTCTGGGATCAAACGGCGACTGATTCGGAGTCCGGACGAGGGAGAAACGAAGCATTAAACAGAGGCTGAGCAAGCCACACGGGCACAACCCACACGGCCGTGTAACCTGGCCATGTGGCCGTGTGGAAATCACCGAGCCTTCACACGGGCAGCTGGGAAAGCCACACGGCCGTGTGGCCTGGCCGTTTGAGTCGGGAATTGCTGGTTAAAACCCGATTTTCAGGAAAAGGAGAGAGAGAGAGAGAGCTGGGTTTTGGATCCCAAACACTCAAGGGACGAACCCTAGAGAGAGAGCGACTTGGGAACATTCTTGGAGCTATTTTGGAGGATTTCTTCGCCATTGGAGCTCGGGAATCAAGTTTGGAGATGGAGATTGAAGATCTAGATCAGATTTCTGCAGTCTCTCTCTTCTCTATGGAGTAACTTCCCTTCACTTAGGTTTTGAGGAACCCTAGTTCCATGAGTTAGGATCTTTCTTGTATGAAGTTTTGGATGCTATATTGTTTGATTATAATCGATAGAGGCATGATTTATTGAGTCAATTGAAGCTTGATCAAATTCTCTTGATTTCTGCTTTAACCTATGATAGATAGAATCTGATTAGGTTAAGAGAGCTTCCTTGATTGATAGTGGTGAATTGGTTGTGCGAGAGTCAATCAATTCACTGCTTTGTACTGGAATTCATTCCACTAGTGGAGATCTGTGTGAATCGCCTTAGCAGTCTATCCCGGTGAAGGCTAGTCGCCTGCCGTGTATTCTGTCGGAGAGGGCTTGGTAAGCTTAAGAGATTCCAAGCTAATTTAGGATCTTCCGCAGTTTAATCAACAGTAGATCAACCAAAGGTAATTGCAACTTGGACCTAATTGAGGAGCTAGGGGGAATCATACCAAAGTGAGTTCCCAACTTGTAATTAGTAGAGTAGTTAGTAGAGTACTTTAGTAAATCAATCCTTAATCTAGTTTGCTAGATAATGAACTGAAGCTGAGTAATAGTAACTCTAGAGACCCGTGGATTCGATATTTATTACTTGTGCCACTATACTGCAGTCCCTTTCATTGGTTACACTTGGCCATTGTTAGGTGTTGTGTTTTAGCGTGTCAGTATACCACTTTCGACCCATATTGACACTCGTTACACAACCATCAAACCTTATGCCATTTCTTTTGTCTCCTACATACCACCAATCACATTTAAACACAAATACATGATGCCCATAAAAAGTTTGAAACTTGATGATGTCTACAAGTACTATAGCCTCTCCATTGTGTTCACCTTTCACAGCTAAACCACTATTTTGAGTACAATGGCCTTTGTCTGTTTCATGGATTAGGTAACGAACCTCATTAAATATTATGCCATTATATCTAATAACCCTCACATCTGAACCTAATCATAGGATATATTAGTGATCATTCTCTTTAAGAGAGTCGGCCAAAAATAAGTTAGAAACCTATAGAATAAAAAAAGGTAAAAGTTAGATATACTAAGAAACCAAAAAACAAAAAAGGGGTCAAAGCCTATATAATTTCAACTGAGGGGGATTATCCTAACATGTGTTTTTAACAAGGACGGAAAGTTAGCTTTAATGCTTTGTCTTGTATAGTTAGAATTTTGACTAAGCATCTCCTCCTTATGAATGTTGTACAATTTTGCTTAAATGTCAGAATTTGTGATGCAAGTGTTTTTATGGATAAACATTAGTAATAATTTAAAAGCTTACTTCCAGTACCCTTGGATCTGAATGAATTCAGCATGTTGCTGGGGAAGGCGGTCCAGTGGCTGACCTAGCAGAAACCGCCATTGGAGGAGGCGGTTTACTGGCTGAGCTAAAAGAAACCGCTTGATGAGGAAGCGATCCTAGGTCTCCAACCTAAACCACTTCTTCATCAAGCGGTTTGCTTTGCCGACACACAAACCGCACCCCCTACGGTTTGTATGTCGTCCAAATTCCTCGACACCCGACATGTCGCCATGCAGGGGTTTTGGAGACGTGGGTCTGCATGGCAGTTCAAAACCACCCCTCCCCCTGCGGTTTTGAATAAAAAGTTTTCCTATAAAAAGCAGCTCCGAGAACCTCAGTTTCTCACCCCTCTCCTTATTCGTCTTCGAATTTTTGTTATGCACCCTACGTTTTAGAGTTTTTGCAATTAACGTTACTTCGTAAGTTTATTTTGTATTACTTTACATTGTGATTTGTGAATTTTATGGTAATAACTGAATTACGGTTTGATTGCAGATGGCATTCCAAAAGTCCATCAAATGTGTACTGAGGTTACTTGCATGGATGGCACTAGAAGAGTTGATCGTATGGTGTATCGATATCCAAACATACAAGGCGGATCGTTGTGGCATGAAGAATTTTTCATAACCATTTGGGATGAAGTAGATGCCATGGTCAAATTTTTGAACGGCAATAATCTTTCCAAAGAAGGGATGTTCGTTTACACCGAGGCGGTCGAAGGCAGTGGAGGTCATTCTGGAGGTGGCAAACATCTGGTATCCATGGTGGAGGTCGATTATATGAAGATCATCCTTACCATGCTTACCATGATCCCCATTCCTTCCATGAGTACCAAGAAAGAGGTGAAGGTCATCAACAATCCTTTCCATCATATGAGGAAGAAGTCCAACGGTACCATGACGGCCAACAAGAAGGCTACCAGTACCAACAAGAGTACAATTTCCATTCAAGCGGCAGTAGTTTTCACAACTACCATTACGGAGCTGATGAATGTGACTTTCATGATCTGGATCAAATGGAAGATGTCCTGCCAGCACCGGTTAGCGACCCTTCCGATGAAGATGAAGAATAAGGCAATGTCAGTGCAGACAGATCTGATCCTCTTGAAGGTGCTAATTATTCAAGCCCAGAGTCAGAGTCAGATGATGATGATGAGGTGTCTCATGACCGTGTACCTATCCCGTACTATAATCACAGTCGAAATGAGCATTGGTATGTCAATGCCGACATGGAGCCGTCAGAGGTGGCAATATGGGGTCCACTCATTGGGTTTATGAAGGGCCAACAATTTGGTACGAAGAAGGAGGTGCGACACGCTATTGAGACTGAAGCAATGACTCGGAGTTTTGAATGGTGCACAACTCATTCCAACGCGAAGAGGATCATAGTTAGATGCCGAAATCAACACGAGGGATGCACGGCTAGGATACGGGCCATCAATAGCAAGAGAGTTGGCCATTGGGTCATATCCCGCGCGGTGAACACTCACACATGTGTGTCATCCATAACATCTCAAGGCCATCGACAATTGAAATCCAGAGTGGTTTACGTGGCTATCAAGCATCTAATTGAGCAACAACCCGATCTGAAGGTGAAAACCATCATCACCAAAATTTCTAGTCGTTATGGATATATTATTAACTATAAGAAGGCGTGGCATGGAAAGCAGAAAGCCATGATCGTCGTCTTTGGTGACTGGGAAGAATCATATGCATTCCTTCCCAGATTGATTTTTGCATTGGAGGCGTCTAACCCTGGCACTGTTTTCTCCCCCCCTCCCCCCCCCCCCCCATCAAGACGAAGAGATCCAACCACCGGAGCCCGGTAACAAACATCATTTCAAACGTCTTTTTTGGTCATTCAAGCCATCTATTGATGGTTTTGGCTTTTGTTTCCCTGTAATGCAAGTGGATGGAACATTCCTTACCGGGAAGTACAAGGGTTGTCTCCTAATTGCCAGTGGAGCGGATGCAAACAAACAAGTTTTTCCTTTAGCCTTCGCCATAGTTGAGGGAGAGAATACCGAAAGCTATGCATGATTCTTCAGACAAATACACCTCCACGTAACTATGAGGACCAACTTGACAATCATCTCTGATCGCCACGTCGGGATTAGAGCTGCCATCTTAGGTTTGGATCTAGACTGGAGTGGTCCCAGAGGTGGTGCATACAACACTTCAAGAGCAATTGGAACAATAATTTCAAGTAGAAGAAGCTTGCTGATAATATATGGTGGATCGGTAAGCGCTCTATTTCATAACCATAATTTAGTTATTGATTATTTTCAATGATTTGGGCTAATACAATGCACCACTTACTTAGACGCTTTATAAGGAGATGCGTGCCTAAGGAAATGGGTTCTTAAGCGATTATCATGATCCTCCAATTTCCTGGGAAAATCGGGTTTTAAGCGATCCTCGGATCCCCCTTTTTCTGTCAAAAAGGCTGTGTTTCCAAGGAGATGTATACCTCTCCTAAGAGCCTAACGAGAGTGCGGAGGTGGTGTCACTAATCAAAAGGATTTGATTCAGGTGCAAGTAGTCGTTCAAGGAAAAGGATAAAGTAGTCATGGTAGCAAAAGATCCACAGTTATTAGTAATGGTAGGTACGGAGGATCAACTTTGAACTCCTCTTCCTAGTCCTAATTCGACAACCAATGCTCGGAATGTGGAAATCTCATTTAAAGGAGCTGCAATGGAGTCACCTAAATATCCTACTGACGGTGAATCTCAAAAAATGGTAAATGGGGCCAAGCCTCAAACTTTGTCACATCAAGCGGGTCCTACTATTGTCCTTTAGGCATCCCCATCTTCATTCAATATTCTTAGCAAACTTGATGAGCGTGAAGTTATGAAGTTACATACCACAATGAGGAAATAAGTGAAGAAGACAAGGGCTTGAGCCTCATAGTCTAGATTATTATAATTTTTTGTAATGTAAAAGGATTTGACAAACCCTGTAAGATGCATCACGCGTAAGTATAAGGTTGAAGTGGATTCAATTCTGGGAATAAGGGTTCATAAGTCCAAAGCATACGAGACTGTGGAAGGTTACTTTGATGGATGGGAAAAACACTTGAACTATGGGAAAAACCAAAAAAAGATAAATACTAAATATAATTTACTAGCCAAACCTTTTGTTAAAAAAAAAAAAACAATAGCCAAACCTTTTCAAAATCAATATATTAACCAAACTGTTAACTTTCCATCCGGTCAACTATTAATTGACTATGATGTGACAAAAAGTAAAAGGTATCACTACGCCACATCAAATATTATTTTCTAAAAAATAAATACATAAATAATATTGGTAAAAAAAAACAGCCATCTTCCCCATCGCTCATCTCCTCTCCCCGTCAATCAACTCTGGCTTTTGGTTCTCCCCTGCCACAAACCAGACCCAGATTTCGCCACTAAATCATGACCTTTTTGACCTGTTTCCCCTTAATCACTGATTTCCCCTTCATCACCATCGCCTCCTTCAATCTCCTCCAGATCGGTATGTCCTCCCCCATCGTATCCACAGATCCATCGACTTTGAGCAAGGATATCCCCGTGGCATCTTTTGCCTCGCCTTCCCAGGAAAGAGCGATGTAGAGCTCATATCGGGGGATGGTTTTTCCCTTGCGAATGAAGAGGTTTCCTTTGCTGGAGAGTTGCTGCTCATCATCATGATCCTGGACGCCGGCGGGTGGATATGAAAGGATGGTTGACGTAGGAGAATGGAAGAAGGGAGGGGAAGAGAGATTGTAATTTATAAAGTGGAAGGAGGAAGGAGGAAAGTGAATAGTTAGAAAGGGGATGGCAGAGAACAACACATACAACACAATAACAGTGAGCCATGAGGCGGACAAGTCAAAAGACCCAATCTTGAGATCTATGAGGGTTTAGTCGGGAGGACAATGAAGGAGAAGGAAAGGCATCATCGAGATGAGGGATTTATTTTATGATTTAATGGATACATGGGTTGCTGGGTTATGGCATCAGCGGGGTGATGGATTGGAGAAGATGGAAGAAAAGAATGAAGCTTGGTAGGGGAAGTCGATTGGTGGGGTTCTAAAGACACTATTGGATGGAGAAGAGGAAGGGGAAGAGATAAGAGGGTATGATTTAATGGATACAGACCCTCCTACATCTAGTCATCTACATATAAACGTAGGTTTACAAAAATTACGCAACAAAAAAGACTTCGAGTTCTTGATTTTTTTCCTGTCGCACAAAGAAAAGATTTTGTTGCACATGAACAAGATATTGAAGAATTTTCCACCGTTGAGAATACAGTATATGTATTGAGTTAATAGACTACACTTAGCAAGATTCCTATTCGGATGAAACAAAATAGACTTCGAGTTCTTGATTTTTTTACTGTCGCACAAAGAAAAGATTTTGTTGCGCATGAACAAGATATTGAGGAATTTTCCACCGTTGAGAATACAGTATATGTATTGAGTTAATAAACTACACCTTGCAAGATTCCTATTCGGATGGAATAGGTTAGAATTAACCAATCTCTCTTGATAATCATTGAGCGAAGACGTTGATAATCCAACCAATCTACCACCTCAAATGATTATCAAGCCACCCATTAGATGCTTGCTTCGTAATCTCAGTAACGCAATATACTATGAAATTCACGAACACAATCATAACAATGATGAGGAAAGAAGTATCATATATGATTAATGCATGAACAGAAACACAAACATTCCCAAATACATTCATTCACATGACCCTATGGTATTTTTGCATACATTCCTGCATTGTTTGACTACTATCTTTGATGATCTTCTAGAAGATGTGGTAGAGGTTGGGATTTTGGCAGGTAATTTCTTGGGGTTGATGGAGGGGATAGGAAGTGATAAGATATATTATGATTCGGTCTTTTGTTTCATAAATTTATAAATACTGTAAGAAAATGGAACAAATCGACATTTGGACAGGACCAAAGCAGACCAATACACTGTTGAGACCATCTTTGGTACTAAAATATTTTTTTACAATTAGACTGCGGTTCTACTAAGTTTTGTCCGATTTGGATCGTTGCACACTGCTCTTCAACTCTGTACCTTTCTCAAACCAAAGATAGCCAATTTTAGTTTTATAGCTCCGCAGTTGTGCCCTTACACTCCCTTCCGCGGTCCAAGTCTTGGCAATCACTGAGTTTCTTGTTGTATTGGTTCCCCCACGAAGATAGGTAGCCTCAATTTCCAATTGCCACCCACAAGTTCCGTGCCTGCAAATGAAACTGACTACTAACCTACACATGATGGAAGGATGGAATGGAATTCTTTTGGGTTTGTCGGTTTGATTTGGGTCGGTTAACCGAACCCCACAAAAACCCAAAAACATGAAAATATGGTATCACTGCAAACCCGCACCCGAGCCCGAAAAGTGCCACTATCGGTTTTCGGTTACCTGAACTCTAAAATCCCGTTAATGGTTTCGGTTTGGTTCTATGGAGGGCGAAACCCCAAAAATTGCTCTAGGTCGTGGATACAGTCCGGCAAGCACCGGATGGCCTCAAGGAGCGAAACGCTGGTCTTCAAAGCTTGAATTTACGATGGAATCCTTGTAGCAATCGGCGAAGAGGAACACCCAAAGGATTCTTCCAATGTATCATTTCTTGGTCCAATGGAATTCATAGGTATAGAAAGAAGCCCTGTCAAATAGAGATTTTTTCTTTCGATTATCTTTCTATTGTTAATACGATATATAAGGACCACTACTACAAATAGTACTACACCCTCCTTGTGGCGCCCCTCACCGGTCGGCAACAATCTTCAAAAAGTGCCGAATGGCTTCGGAATAGCGTCTAGGGCTGCGAAGGCAAGGTCGTGACGGCAGAGGAGAACGTGACTTTCCTTCATCTTTTTTTCGTTCATCGCCGGCCACGAGGCCCGTTTGCATGCTTTCCCCACTTCGAACTGGTCGGAGAGAATCTATCGAGAATAATACACGCCCACAATAGCGAGATTCCATCAGAGACGAACACCCAACCAACGATGGTGTTGACTTGACAATAGCAACGCGGCCCAAACCCGATTATCGGCTTGGTTTCGATTTAACCCGAAAACCCGAACCCGATTCCTCAGCCCTAATATTTCATGGACAAAGTACCTCACTGTACAAGTATCCTCCAAGCAAAACACGTCGAGAAATTGAACCAGCTTAATTGTGGACCACGCAAAGCCGAGGATAAGGAAAAAGATCATACGCTCTCACCAAAAACCCATGATTTTAAGAGCAGACTTTTCAGCTAATTTGTAAACTAACTCTCGTACAGGGGGAACACAAGACTTCCGTAACTTTTTCTGCTTCCATGCATAGTTTCTTCCTACGATATTCCCTTGTCACCATCTCTCTTCCACACCCCACCCCCCATAAAAAAACTGTCAACCGCTACAAGAGATGGCGGACTCTCTTCTGTATCTTATGTAGAGCGAACAATTCCCTCCTGATGCATGCTTGGACTACACACACTGATGTAGCGATATCTCCATAGTTGTCTAGGCTTCACTCTCCTCCAGCAGAGGTTGCAAAGTCCCCTCAATGGATCAATCATTTCGTGGCAGTGGCGGTTGGCTCATGATCAGACAGAATGTCGTCTACTTGTTCAAAATATGGCCATCCTTTTCTACTTGACTCGCTTTTGCTTTCCTGTTGACAATAATAAATAGCAGCAGGCAGTGGTGACGATAATGGTGGTTCAAAGTTCAAACTGTAACTGCAACGGAAAAGAGAAACAACAAAATGAAAAATAAAAAAAGAAGCCAAAACCTCATATTTTTGAACGAGAGATGCCCACAGTGATTTGCATTGACCCGGACTCCGGTCGATCCCTTCCACCATCAAGCCATTGGATATCTCTTCCCACAGAGCCATTCTTCCCTTTACAGTTTGAAACTTAGCATGCAATTTCCCTCTCATTTCGATTAGTTTCGTGATCTCATCGGGTTTCCACTTATTTCGCTTCATAGACTTGGAGGAGGATGGTTTTCTTCTGTTTTTCTGATCATCGTCATCAGAGTCATCTTCACTATCATCATTATTACCGCTGTCCTCTTTAGCCACTCTCAGATTATCTTGCTGTCGTACCACAGGTTTTTTATTTCTGTTGACCATGTCATCAACAGTGTCAGGTGATGATGACATAAATGAACGCCAAAAATCATCTCCATCCTCGGCTGCACTCTCAAGGCTCTCGATTGATCTCGAAGTTGAAGAAGTGCCATCTTCTTCAGGTAGTAGCCTTCCATCAACTACATGATTACCAATAAGTGAGGTGTCACGAAATTCAATCGAAATAAATTGTGCATGAGAAGTCGGTGTACACAAACAAACACATATATAGGGACAGAGAAAACAATTACCTTCCAACTCCTCTCGCCCTGTGTCTTCCAAATGACCATAGCCATTTTCATCTTCGGTTTGTCTCTCCTTCTTGTCTCTTTTGGGATGTCTGTCAATAACCTTTCTCAATGCTGATATCCCGAAACCCATTTGCGATGACTTACCAGCTAACTTTGCAGACAACTCTTCAGAAAGAACCCCTGCTGGGTTTTCCATGGCAATGACAATTACCTCAGGCCTTTTCCCGCTGTACTTTCTCACCATCTTCCTTAATACCTCGGAAACGATTCTTTCCATGTGTGCTAGAGGACAGTTAACAGGACAACTCGAAAGGGCAGCATGGGCAGCTTTGTGGAGTGCATCTAAAAGCTTCCCTTTGTCCAGCCACAAGCACCGTGTTGTGATTCTTATTTTCCCCTTTATGTTATTACTTTCGCTGACACCATCTACGCCCTGAGGTCGTAAGATTTCCATACTGGCAAAATAGGGAAACAAATGAATTAAAATTATAAGAAAAGACATTCTTATATTACTCTGCAGTTGGAATCAAATATCTACCTGACCACTATAATTCCATCCGTGGCCATTCTTAGCCTCTCATCAACACACAGCTCAGTTGATGTGCCGAATGCTTTATCACCATCACTATACATCAGCTGCAAAATTTATTGGGCGTTAGCTGGAAAACCTCCAAACCAATGAATCATCAAGAAGTCGAGGATCAAGATGTCAATTGTTCCGTATAAGAGAAAAAGGGAAAGTGATTCAACTGAGGCCAACCTGCAAATTCTCCTTCCCAAGAGATATAAAGCCATTAGATAGCACTCTTCTGTTTCTCAAGTGTGATACCCCGAGCATCTCTCCATTTTTTATAACCTAACAGAAGACACAAGGAAAGATATATCATAATTTATCCAATGAGGCACGTAATCACAAATTCTCCAAGGAACATAATAGAAAACTGAAATTACTGACGTAGATGGAGCACAATTCTACTTCTACACAATGGAAAATTCAGCACAGAGAACAGGAATCAACTTTTTAAATCGATTAAGAAAACGTGCTACCTACACCACGCATTTATCAAGAGATTTGTTGAAAGACTGGGATATTTTTCACTCTAAACAACAGAGATGGAGGTGGAAGAACAGAATTATAAGAACCTAGGAGAAGAAGTCCTTGCTGATGATAGCATCAGATAATCGTCCAATGATCTGATGAGGTTTATCACATAGCTATATAATAAACAATAGCCAAAATGGCTTTTAGGTACCGAAACAATCGTTTGAAATGCAGCAATCTTCTCTACGGCAGTTTTTATTTTATTTTCCCAAAAGCTGCCATTTAGGGAAAGCAAATCATGTATCATTTGATTTCCATAAAGCACGATGTGCATTTTTTTATTAAATCAAGCCAATAAGCATTGCATGAAAACAATACAGGAGGAAGAACTGACTCACAGTGGTATGGTGAACTCCAGTCGACTTTCCAAGCAATTCATGCTCTTTCAAGAACAAGAGTTCTCCATGTATGGGGAGAAAATGCTGTGGTTTTACTATTTTAAGTACCTCCTCCTGAAGAAACAAAAGCAACATAGAAAACCAATTTTTTGACACAAACTGGAGGGACATTCGGTTTTAAATAAACTGAACAAGCAAAATTAGACTTCAATATCACAGTAAAGGTTACTCAGTTGAAATGTCAGATACTAACCAGCTCTCCACGATACCCATGGCCAGAGGTATGCAATAGCTCATTTCTACCCATTACTATGGTTGACCCGATTTCTGATATGCGATTCATCATTTTCATTACTCTGGATTCGTTACCAGGGATTACCTGAAAAGAAATGCAGCACCGATACACCTCAAAAGAGTTCCCATAATAACAACCTCAAAAGCAACCATGCATTATTCTTAAACAAATGACTGAAAAACCCAAAGTTACAGATAAGGAAACCATGAGCAAATATTTTATGCATGACGTTATCTTACCTTAGCTGAATAAAGTATTATATCTTCCTTATTTAGTTTCAAAGCATGGCTGCCTCCATATGAAGCAAGATTTAATGCAGCACGTGGTTCTGCCTGATACAATACAAGCAATTGATATTGTTAGAGTAGATGAAAACAGAAAATATGTCAGGAATGAACAGAATGCAAATTCTGAGAGAACAGTTACTTGTGATCCAGTTGTAACAATCAGTAAATCCTTGGGAGCATATCCATCTATATCTTCTACTTTCACCTGGGAAGTTCGAGAAGCATAGAGCAAAGGTTAATATAAACTCTGCAGCATTAAGGCTTAAAACATTCCGAGTACAACAGGGATCTTCCATCAACACAGTACATGGAAAAAAGACCAAACAAGGAATAAAGCTTCTAGTACCAGAGTGGATGGATCAATTGGTGCCTTTCCATCCTTCCAAGCGGCATCCAAATAAGTCCTTAAGGACATGCCAACAAAGACCTAGAAAATGAACCAAGTTTAAGAATTAGGGTTGCATACTTACCAGAGTATAGGAAAGAAGTGAAACCATGAGAACGTACAAGTTTTCTGCCAGTCAAATCAGCAGCAGCTTTTACACTTCCCAGTCGAAAAATATTCGATGCGAACTGAGTAGTGATAACCCTTCCTTTAGCAGATGAAATACGTCTCAACAGTGAATCTGCTACAACGGTTTCACTCATTGTCCTTCCCGGGGACAGCACATTTGTTGAATCACTCATCATCTGAACAACATATACCAAGTCAAATCTCCATTGATAGCGTAGGTCATTAACACCTTAGTACATACATATCAGAGCAACAAAACACTACTATAGCCATCACATTAAGCACTTAAAGCCATATACGTTACATAAGGTAACAACTAGACTTGAGACAAGAAATACATGCAGACAGAAAATGGAAAAGATGGCACTTCTGTCTCAAAGAGATTAAGTCAAATCTCCGTTGATAGCGTAGGTCATTAACACCTTAGTAAATACATATCAGAGCAACAAAACACTACTATAGCCATCACATTAAGCACTTAAAGCCATATACGTTACATAAGGTAACAACTAGACTTGAGACAAAAAATACAGCCAGACAGAAAATGAAAAAGATGGCACTTCTGTCTCAAAGAGATTAAGTAGTTCAAAAGTTCATTCTCCATGAAGTCAACCCTTTAAGCCCATTGAATAACTGAAGGAATATTTTAACCCAACACAAACACATCTTGAGCAAAGGAAAGACTAACCAAAGTCACTCCTTCCTTCGAGAGTTCTTCAAGAGCTTCACGATCAAATGGTTTGCCATCCAATGGTGATTCATCAATCTGCAAAACGTAGTTCTTTATGCTTCCATGAAGCCAAGTAATGAAGTGGGGAAGATGAATCAGTAAATGAGCTTACCTTCCAATCGCCTGTATGAAGTATTATACCATCAGAGCAACGAAGAATGAGGCCACTACAATCAGGAATTGAGTGGGTAACGGTAATAGGCTCTATTTCAAAAGGCCCAGCAGTAAATCTCCTCCTTGTTCTGAAAACTTTTAGTCTGGATGGAAGAAAGATTCCGTGCTCCTTCAGACGCTTTTTGATAAGCTGAAAGAGCATGAAAGACTGTGTTACCGGCTTGAGCATTACTTAGAATCAATCAAGATTCCTCTGTTGTGTCACAGACACTCATGTGGATAAGAAAAGCTACTGTGTGCTATAAGAAAAAGAACATAAGGACTTGCTGACAACAGTCAATAATTCTTCCAGACACACTAGTTGCTGAAGAGAGCAGGGAATAACAAGAAAGAAACAATTTTCGACACCATCTCTATGTTAAAGGATGAATAAATCACGTCAACGGGATATGACCCAAAGACAGCAAAATGTATTATAATTATCCACATCAATTACCTCCATTGTAAAGGATGATGCATATATTGGGGTATGTGAATCCAAAGCTGGTATCACCTGCTCAGACAAGAGCGAAAATTTCAGGGGAAAATAACTTCATTAAGGAGTCCTGTGGCAGCTGAAGCTGCTAACGGAAAGCTACAAGTTTTAGATATAGAGTCAAATATTTCGATTCAGAGCAATAATGAATGCGCTACAGATGAATCCACTAAGTCAAAATGGACTGTGATAATTGCAGGTCAACCCTAGCGAACTACAGATTCATGACTTTACAAGTTTTTTCTCCTTGTAAGAAGCATTTACCTATCATTGCATCAAAAGTTGTCATTCACATTCACAAGCACTTAAAAAGGCATTTTGACATTAAAGTTTCCTCACATTACATCGAAAGTTGTCGTCTAACAAGTTTTACAGCATTTAAATGGTTACTGCTTGATCAGTGGACATCAATGAGAGGAAAAGTATGGTTATTTCTCTAAACTACCATTGCACCTTGATCTCTTCCACACTATATATTTACACAAAAGGAATGATTAAACAGGAAATCCCAAAGTACAGCACAATAGAGAAACTGGCGTGTAATATAGAGTTACAGGCTGGGAAAAGAATATTAATCTAGAGGTGTCAAGTAGTAGAAAGAAACTTTACCCATGGCAAAGCACCGATGTGATCTTCATGCCCATGCGTTATCACAACTGCTTCAATTTTGTGGCTCCATTTTTTTATGAAAGTGGTGTCTGGTAAAATCTTTTGAACTCCAAGCTCATCGTGGCTGTAACAGGTCATATTGTAGAGCACGTGAAGATGTCAAGCACCATTACTATTCAGGATGCATGAGAAAGAAAATTCAATTCATGAGACACTTAGGTAAGAGCTTTGTACTCAACTTGACTGAATATAACCATTACGTTGAACTTTTTTTATTTAAGGAAAAAAAAACATAAAAGAAGCTCTGATTTTTTCTTTGAAATTAATTTCCCCTTCCATGACAATGCATTTGCCGGCAGAAACAATGCAGTGAATGCCATCAACAATAACTTGGGAGCTTAGATGACCAATGCTTACTCAGGGAACATAACACCAGCGTCAATTAGAATATAGCGGTCGTAATTCCCAACTAGCATGCAATTCATTCCAATCTCACCCAGTCCACCAATCGGAACAATACGTAGTGGTGGACCATCAGATCCTTCATAGAACTGTTCCATTTTGCGTTGAACTGAGTCTTCCATACTTTTCCCTGCCCCTTCTGTTCTCCTCAATCTTTTGCGTGGTGCCTTGGACACACGGCTGCCTAGAACAACAGAAAACAATGGAATAACCAAGATATCCATGGAAAGGGAATGCCCAGCTTCCACCATAGACACTAACGTTACTAGTTACACCATTCGCAACATGAAACAGGGTGACGGAATAGCAACTACAGGGAGAAAGGATCACAAAGATGCTTACGACCCGGAAGGTTATAGCAGGACAACTCATTCAAACTTAAGCTTTCCAGATGCAACTGCAGAAAGAAACTTGCATTCATTACAGCCAAAGCGGCCTCCGGACCAGGCAACAAGGGTACCATCAAACCAATTAGTTAACTCCATAGTATCAGTTTCCCATAAACATCTCAACAGCAAGACTACCATGTTACCGTTCACCAAAGTCTGGAATAGTTGTAAAGCATAACTTAAAGTTAACACCGCGATAAAAACTCAAACTTTATTCTTATTTCCTCAATTCCGTTATCGCCGTCATCCTCTAAGTACAGATATTTTCTGAGAGGAAAATGAACAAACAGGTGGGCGGCAGTTGGAAATTGAGGCTACCTATCTTCGTCGGGGAACCAATACAGCAAGAAACCGAGTGATTGCCAAGACCCGGCCGGCGGAAGGGAGTGTAAGGGCACAGCGGCGGAGCTATAAAGCTAAAAGCGGCCATATTTGGTTTGAGAGAGGTAACAGAGTTCAAGGAAGAGGAGGGAGAAGAACTCCCCAAAAACTCGAAATGCATTTGGGTTCCAAGCTGCCGGGAAACCCAGAAAGGGCTGCCAATCCAAAAACCCTTTTGGAGTCGAGAGAGTGTAGCAGGGTTTTAGAGAGGGATTTGGGAAGCCGCAGCAGCTTGGAGCGGGAAGAGTGAAATGGCCGGCTCCCTCCCTCCCAGTAGTACGTTTTTTTCAGGATTAGAGAGGAATAAAAATATCTTTTGTGGTAGTTTGCGCAATCCTCAACTCAGACGGTTAAAAGAAGAAGTGATAAACCCTGGCACGTGCCATCCCATTACGTGCCTTGCCTCTGCCTGGCTGAGAAATAGTTTTTGGAGTGATAACATAATCACTATTTATTAGCCAAAAAATTTTTAAATTCTTTTTTATTTGTCAAACATATCGTAATATTAATAATTAGTCAATTTTAATTTTCAATTAGCAATTTTGTTAGTAATATTGACTTGGAAACATGATACTGCCTTGGAATAGACACTTGAAATTCAAACATTCCAAAATTTTAGTAATTTAATTTTTAAATAAAAAAAGAGTTACAAAATTACTAACAATAGAGTAAAAATGACTAATATTTTGATGCACTACGAAATATTTGACTAATTAATAGCATTTTAATAGGTTTGGATAATATAAAAGAATCTGAAAAAAGTTTGGATAAAAAATAGATATTACCCTTTTTTTATTATACTGGAATCGTCAACCCCACGTGACATTTGTTGACAGTGGAGCCTATTAAATTTTGGGGTCACCTGTAATCAATTCGACGTCAATGAGACTTCGCCCTCAACAATCACATACTTCCGGAAACATCAACGAACCTCACTTGCATCGAACCTGGGATCTGCAACTCCCAAACCTTCCTGTTGCGACAGCTTTAGAGTGATAACATTACTACCCAATCAATAGAAAATTCTATTACTCTTAAGGTGATAACATTAGTACCCAATCAGAAAATTAGGATTGTGATTATTTTTTTATTACTTAGGTTGACTAAATTTATAAATAGCTATAATAGTCATTTTGAATATTATATTTAAACTGACAGTAATAACATAGAAATTAACGATAGAAAATTAAAAATATTTTTTATAGAATATACTTAATGTTGTCAAAATATACTCAATTTCGCAAGAATATACTCACGGTGGTTTAAATATGCTTAATGTCGCTGGAATTCTAACACCGTAGCCTAGGGATGGCAACAGGTCGGGTCGAGTGCAAATAGTGCATATTCGTTACGCTACCCAAAGTAGTTCGGGTTTTAGCCATACCCATATAAGAATCGAGTAGAAAATCAAAATTATACTCATATTCGTTCGGGTTTCGGGTATACATAGTTATCCATAGGTAATAATTTCTCTTTGTAACTCCGACCAACATATTAACTTTCACACGTACATTCACATTATATAAGTGGAAAAGTATGACAATTCACTAGAATGAAAAAAATTTAATTTCAAACAACACAATTTCTTGAAAATATTATATTTGTATGCTAAATAAAGCATGTTGAGAAAAACAATGATCATTTTGAGAAACAATATGTATGCATGAGTATAATCGGATGGGTTCAGGTTAGATAGTGAGAACACCATAGCCACCCTTTACCCATAATATTCAGGTTCATATTTTACCCGTACCCAAAAAAATCCTTCAATTCGGGTTTTACCCTACCCAGTTAGGTCGGATTCGAGTGGATATCCATGATTACGGATTTTTCTGTCATCACTACCGCGGCTAAAAAACCAATTGTAGGAGTTCGATCATCGCTCGTCAGAGTTTGGTCAACGGTCTTCAGAGTCCAGAAATACACAAACCAAAATCCAAGATATCTATTTTTTATCTCGTTCAATCCACGTTCAACTTTGTGGCTGATAATAAAAAAAATCGATTTTTCACGTGAACAATACCGCAATCACAAAATATTTTCGTGAACAATAAAACAAAAATAAAATACCTCAAATCACTGTTGAGTTTAAACGGGGCTCTGATACCACTTGATAAGATCCCGAGCTCGTCAAAGCTTAGGTTCTTTTGTCAAAGTCGTGCAGCTTCAAGTCAAGCTTGGATAACTCGAATCGGCCTTCAAACGAACATAAAAATAAAGGAATACATGGAGATAGATACTCATCATAATCAAGTGTATCACTTGACTAATAAGAGTCTTGCCAGGCTCTTCTAGAATCCTCCACAGAAAAACTCGAACAAGGATCTTATAATAGCTATGGAATCCACCGATAGCTAAAACAATAACTCATAAGCACTCATGCTCTATGGGGTAAACTCCTCAGAGTTAATCTTTATTCAACAAAATCCTCTATCTCTAAATTCGTGTTTACAACCCTTTTAAATAGGTTTGGATAAATAAACCTAATAAAAATACCAAAAAGGAAAAAGAATCCTAAACGAAATAGGTACCAAAACTAGTCAAGTCAAATTCCACGGTCTCCTCCTTGAATTCCACGGTCGTGGATTTGGTGTCTTGGTCCTGGAATTGTCCTGATCATAATCCACTATCTGAACTTGAATTCCACGAGCGTGGAATTGGCTTCCTGGCTGTGGATTTTGATTGGTCACCATACGGTCTTCTGGTTGCTCGTTTGGTGCCCAGGAAGCTTTGATCTTCTCATCGACTCCTTCACGATTTTTATCAAGACTTGTACTTTCATTTACAACTCCTAACTTTCCTCAAATGTCTCCCAAAAAAACGAGTAAGCCTCCAAAGTACGTATCACGGACTGTTAGCCAGACTTAGCCAAATTTCCAGCTTCTTCTTCCCTTTACTTGGTTTCTTCTTTGAACATCAATGGAAATGGTTTTGGGTCACAACCCATGATCACATCATTATGTGCTTCCACATTGCCTCCACTTCCCCAAAACCTCCATTCCATCACTTTTCCTCTAGCCAGATCCCTAACCTCATCACAAATTGTCCCAATCTCCAATTAGTGATCTCCTCTTTCTTCAATTTATAGATAAGTCTTTGGCAATCCGTTTCCATCCTCAAAGGGTAAAAATGGTATTGTTGATTTACATTCAAACCCCAGAGAAAAGCTTCAACCTTAGGCATTTCTGGATTCCATATTACCAGCACTCGCTTAACAGCTGCCATCACAAACCTCCCTTCTCCATCATGCACCACCAAACCAAACTCTGTCCCTCCTTCCTGCAATACACTTGCATTGACATTCGCTTTATATATTTTGTCGCCGGTCTCTTCCATATGGAACTTCGATTGAACATCTTACGCGTCTAGTCTAGTTCATGATTCTTTCAATACCTTGTCAGGTAATTCTGGGACCTCTCAATCATCTCCCAATCTTTATGTTTTTATTGTTGTATTAATGATTGTTGCATTACTTCCAAAAAAAATCATACTACGATTAGGAATTCATATAGCTCTTCCTCCGGAGATTTATCTAGTAGTTCACACAACCAAGCTGCACAACTACGAACTTCCCCCACTTCAAACAGTTTTCTTAGAAAGCTAGGTCTCTAGATTCACCCCGCCTAGTCACAATCTCTTGGTATATGTTCATGTGTCTGGCTTCTGGTATATGCTTTGCCAAATTCATTCCCTTTTGGTATATGCTTCATGATGACTCGGTATTTGCACATGTTTTCCCCTTTGTTTCTTGATTGTTTGAGCTTGAATTATTGCGTCTTTGGCCTATTTTATGCTAGGTTGTGCTCCTTTGTCCCATTTCAGGTCCTAGCACATAAAGTGAAGCATAGGCGCAAGTTTCAAGTCAATCAGAGATCAATTGACGATTCGAGAGAAGAAACTCGGGCATGACCTGAAGAAGAATGGATTTCTACCTCACTTTATGGACAAAGAATCATGCAAGCTTGTTATGAAACGAAAGAGGACGAGACTACGAGCGTCTGGGATCAAACGGCGATTGATTCGGAGTCCGGACGAGGGAGAAACGAAGCATTAAACAGAGGCTGAGCAAGCTGCACGGGCAGACCAGCGTGGCCACGCACGGCCGTGCAATTGACCAGTTTGGCCGTGCGGGATCGTGCGTGGGCACGCACGGGATTGTGCGTGGCCACGCACGGCCGTGCAAGTGACCAGTTTGGCCGTGCGAGTTGGCTGAGGTTCAACTAATTGATACGCCGCGTTTTGAGGTGCACGGCCAGATTGGTGATGTGCACGGCCGTGCACCCTGGCCGTGCGAGTCGGGAATGGCTGTTTTTAACCCAAATTCGAGCCAAAGGAGAGGGGGAGCGGGGTTTTGGATCCCAAACACCCAAGGGACGAACCCTAGAGAGAGAGGGCGATTTGAGGGCATTCTTGGAGTAGAGAAGGAGGATTTCTTCGCCTTGAAAGCTCGAGGAACAAGCCCGGACTTGAAGACTGATCATCTGAAGATTCTTACTGCAGTCTCTCTCTTCTCTATGGAGTAACTTCCCTTCACTTAGGTTTTGAGAAACCCTAGCTATGTTTGTTTGATTGGATGATTGTATGAGTACTCTGACTTGATAATCTTGAGTTCATATTCAATCTATGCATGTTTTCATGATTCAATTCTGCTTTAGTCGAGATTATTGATTCTGCTTTGATTCTATGAGAGGGAATACCTGATTAGGTCAATAGAGCACCATAGATTGATAGTAGTGGATCGATTGCTTTAGTCGAGGGTTGATTCACTGCTTTGTATCGATTGAGAACCTCTTTCGATAGAGGGAGTCTAGTTCAGAACGCCTTGATCAGTTGTTCTAGAGAAGGATACGTCCCTCTAGGCAATTGACTCAAGAGGGCCTTGTTCCTTTAGTCGAGACTCAAGGTCTACTCAAGGATTCTCCGCATTGTGAATGAAAGTGAAACAAGTTGGAAATCATCAATCGTTAGTCTGGCTAGTGGCTAGGGGGAATCATACCTAAGTGAGTTCCCAACCTGTAATTAGATTAACTTTAACTGTAGTTTGCTAGAGTAGTTTTAGTTCTTTCATCTTAATCTGATTTGCTAAATAATAAACTGAAGCTGAGTAATAGTAACTCTAGAGACCCGTGGATTCGATATTTATCACTTGAGCCACTATACTGCAGTCCCTTCCATTGGTTACACTTGGCCTTTGTTAGGTGTTGTGTTTTAGAGCATCAAGTTTTTGGCGCCGTTGCCGGGGACTTTCTATAGTATTAGGAAAGGCAGAAGTTTGTTACTTTAGCGTTTTTCGTTTCTTTTCTTTTCCACCCTTGCTTTTCACTTGGGTGTTTTTGTTTTTGTTGGTGCAGATCTGAATCATGGATCCTAATGGCTTCTCCAATCATTGGGGGTATCCACCACCATCTGGGTGGTATTACCCCGAGACTCCGTGGAGCAATCAAGGCGGAGAAGACTATGGATTAGGGTTCCAGTACCAACCCCCTTACTACGGAGAACAACCGGACCCCTGGGCATATCAAGAACAACCTCATTATCAAGAAGGATTTCTCCCACAACCAGAAGGGCCATCGGCACTGGAGTTACTCATGGAGCAGTATGCTCGAGACTGTGAGAGAACATGCTCCAGGATGGATCAGTGTGTCCAGGCCTATCGTGAAACAGATGAGATCCTCCTGAGCCTTAAGAAGAGCGTCGATGATCTTGAGCGATCTTGGGCGCAACCTGCTCCAGATCACCCTTCTGCTACCATACAAGAAGAGGAGGAGGAAGAAGAAGGCTACAAGGGCATTGTGGAGCACACTGAAGTTGTCACGGAGAGCTCCCGTGATGATCATGATCAGGAGTGTCCTGTCGTAGCCGACCACACCTTCCCACACCCCAAACTGAGCTTTGAAGAGGCGGGCATGAGTGAGGAGATGCAAGAAGATCTCATGAAAGAAATTGCTTGGCAACTTGCTCTCCAATCCGTGCTAGAAGAAGAAGAGCAAGAAAGGGTGCAGAAAGAAGTTGTGGAGGATGACGAAAGTGAAGCAGGAGGAGTTCTTGATCATTTCCCAGGGGTGATACCACATGAAGAAGGAAGGGAGGTTGAAGAAGCAATTGGCGTCCAGGCTGAGGACGAAGTTGAGGTGGAAGAGGCTTGCACCGGCCATGAGTTACATGTGATATCTCCACTAAACTTCGAGGAACTGCTTAGCAAGGACCCATTTGCAGTGTCTCTTTGCCAGACCAAGGCCACCTCGACATCGGTCCCTCTTGGTGGACGTGATGGTGGCCAATCGATGCTGTCATATCTGGTTTGGGGCAATGAGACGAGAGAAGAGAAGAAGAGGTCTCGAGGGTGGAGACTTCATCTGCATCAAGTACATGAGCCTTCATCACCTGCCACACCACATGCTCATGACTTGAGACTCCACCTCATCGACGAGAACCTCAACTTCAAGGAGGTTCTAGCATGGACCGAACCTTAGGAGCCATCGTCCGGCTCACGACGTGAAAGAAGCGCTTGTTGGGAGGCAACCCAACCAGTCGGTTTGCATTTCTTTCTCTATTTCTCTTCGGTGGAGTCAGTTTTGTTCTTTGATTTTAGAGTCAATAACTCAACCTTTGTGAGATTTTGTGTGGTGTTTGTGTTCTGATTACTCTCTCTTTCTGGAATGCACCGCCTGACCCGTTCATCATCATTCACCCTTGATCTGGTAACTTCGTTCTACCCTCCTTATCTTTCCTCCATTGAGGACAATGTCGTGCTTAAGTGTGGGGGGATGTTCGATTATGTATGCGGGTGAATGTTTGGCTGTTTGTGTGCTTGGAGCCTAGTCCACTGTCCAAATTTTTAAATTTGAGGGCTCCAAGTACGTGTTCCATGCAATTGCCTGCTCAGTATGCTTTGAATTGACAGTCTTTACAGTAATATGCAACCTAGGGAGGTAGTGTAGCACTATGGAGGATGTTGATGCATTTACGAAGTCTCATTTCTTCTTCATATTGAGTTGGTTGATTGAGTGAATTAGTGATCTTAGGACCCTTGAATTGTGTGGTGTTGTGGATTCTCTACCTGTCATGGACTCTTGTATCATGTTTTGAGTTTAACAGGTGCTCGAAAATGTGCTTCAAAATAACGTCTCCCGTGCGAATAGGGCGAAAGTGTGTAAGGGGAGACGGGAATTCGTTCCCAATTTCCACCTACTACCTCCAGCCCCCTTACATGTCTTTCCCCCGCACGAGGCTCGAGACATCCGCTCCTGGCATGGCCGGTAAGAGCAGGTTGGGACCCTTGAAAAAGAAAAGAAAAGAAAAATATCAGAAAACAAGCAAAACAAAAAAAAAGGGGTCTCAACCATCTTCAAGAAGCAGAAAATAGAGCACCTTGAAAAATGTGAGTCCATGATCTGTTGTTTTTGAGAATCTCCTCATCCACAATTCATTTGTCCTCTGTTCACTATTTGCCATGATGCCGACTCGCCGAAGAAGTTATGAGATGACTTGTGCGTCGGTTGACCTCGTAAGCTGCTAAATGATCTAGGAAGTCCTCTACCTACGATCTGGGTTGTTTGTTGCTATAGAGGTCTGGAGAGTTGCATTGGTTTGAGTTAGGTTTGCTTGGGGACAAGCAAACAGTTAAGTGTGGGGGGATTTGATGACTCGGTATTTGCACATGTTTTCCCCTTTGTTTCTTGATTGTTTGAGCTTGAATTATTGCGTCTTTGGCCTATTTTATGCTAGGTTGTGCTCCTTTGTCCCATTTCAGGTCCTAGCACATAAAGTGAAGCATAGGCGCAAGTTTCAAGTCAATCAGAGATCAATTGACGATTCGAGAGAAGAAACTCGGGCATGACCTGAAGAAGAATGGATTTCTACCTCACTTTATGGACAAAGAATCATGCAAGCTTGTTATGAAACGAAAGAGGACGAGACTACGAGCGTCTGGGATCAAACGGCGATTGATTCGGAGTCCGGACGAGGGAGAAACGAAGCATTAAACAGAGGCTGAGCAAGCTGCACGGGCAGACCAGCGTGGCCACGCACGGCCGTGCAATTGACCAGTTTGGCCGTGCGGGATCGTGCGTGGGCACGCACGGGATTGTGCGTGGCCACGCACGGCCGTGCAAGTGACCAGTTTGGCCGTGCGAGTTGGCTGAGGTTCAACTAATTGATACGCCGCGTTTTGAGGTGCACGGCCAGATTGGTGATGTGCACGGCCGTGCACCCTGGCCGTGCGAGTCGGGAATGGCTGTTTTTAACCCAAATTCGAGCCAAAGGAGAGGGGGAGCGGGGTTTTGGATCCCAAACACCCAAGGGACGAACCCTAGAGAGAGAGGGCGATTTGAGGGCATTCTTGGAGTAGAGAAGGAGGATTTCTTCGCCTTGAAAGCTCGAGGAACAAGCCCGGACTTGAAGACTGATCATCTGAAGATTCTTACTGCAGTCTCTCTCTTCTCTATGGAGTAACTTCCCTTCACTTAGGTTTTGAGAAACCCTAGCTATGTTTGTTTGATTGGATGATTGTATGAGTACTCTGACTTGATAATCTTGAGTTCATATTCAATCTATGCATGTTTTCATGATTCAATTCTGCTTTAGTCGAGATTATTGATTCTGCTTTGATTCTATGAGAGGGAATACCTGATTAGGTCAATAGAGCACCATAGATTGATAGTAGTGGATCGATTGCTTTAGTCGAGGGTTGATTCACTGCTTTGTATCGATTGAGAACCTCTTTCGATAGAGGGAGTCTAGTTCAGAACGCATTGATCAGTTGTTCTAGAGAAGGATACGTCCCTCTAGGCAATTGACTCAAGAGGGCCTTGTTCCTTTAGTCGAGACTCAAGGTCTACTCAAGGATTCTCCGCATTGTGAATGAAAGTGAAACAAGTTGGAAATCATCAATCGTTAGTCTGGCTAGTGGCTAGGGGGAATCATACCTAAGTGAGTTCCCAACCTGTAATTAGATTAACTTTAACTGTAGTTTGCTAGAGTAGTTTTAGTTCTTTCATCTTAATCTGATTTGCTAAATAATAAACTGAAGCTGAGTAATAGTAACTCTAGAGACCCGTGGATTCGATATTTATCACTTGAGCCACTATACTGCAGTCCCTTCCATTGGTTACACTTGGCCTTTGTTAGGTGTTGTGTTTTAGAGCATCACTTCACCAGATTCTTGTTATGTTTTCTTTTGTATAAGGGGAATTCTCTTCTGGTATATGCTCCGCCAGATTCATTCCAATAGGTATTATATTACTTGCCCATTTCCACACAAAGACTCTCACTTTTGGTGGAAGCTTCAAATGCCAAAGTTTGTTCCGGTCAATGAGTACATACTAATTTGGCTAGTGTCCATTCTATTATGATTTCCATTTATGGTAGCTAGACTTAACTGTGTAAAAACTAGTATTTCCCATACCCCAACACCGCTTGTCTGGCTTGGATCTTGTTGGTATGGGAATTGACTTAATTCTCTCTCTATCGATCGATTGAAAGTTTTGTTAAAGTAAATTACTTCACCGTGATCGATTTGAAGGATCGATCAAATCCACCACCCTACCATTCATCCCCAAACTATTTACTATGGTATATACCTTGAAATCCTCCGCTTCTGGTATTGACTTGTCCTACCAGACTTGAATACTTTTTCCATCTCCTACTTTCCACCCCGACCCTTACCAAAGCTTGTTCTACCATGATACTCCTGTATATATATCTTGGATTGCTTAGGCACATGTTTCAAATACATTTTTATGTGAATAGTACTTTGCTTTTAGGAATCTAGCAACCAAAGAGTTTGGGTTTTGTAATAAATTCTAGACCTGTCTTCCAAGTAAAGCTATATTGAAACCATGTAAATCTTGAAAATTCCATACCTCCTTCCTTCTTAGTCTTACACAGCTTTGACCACTTCATCCAATGTGTTCTCCTTTCTCCATTTTTGCTACCCCACCAAAACCCAGATATGATAATCTGTACCTCATGGTTAACGAGGGATTAGGAAGACCAATGTGGCATATATTTCTTATGCTTGAGCGATAGCCTTGATTAGTACCTCTTTACCTGCATTACAAAGTAGCTTTCTTTTTCAAACCTTCACTGTTTTCCTCACTTTGACAATAAGTTGAGTAAAGAGTGTCTTCTTTGACCTTCCAATGATTTTTGGTAGGTCTAGAGAACATGCTTCATCCCTAGTAATTGTAGCATCTATTATTCTCGTTGTGCTTCACTGACATTTGTGCTAAATGTCAATTCTGATTTTGTGAGGCTCACCTATTGCCTGAATTCTTTTTCATATGTATCTAGAACCATTTCAAAGCTTTTCCTACTTGTAATGACATTATTTATTCACGTTTATGAATTATTATTATTGCTATACCCCACCATTATTAACAATTTAAATATACTTATCGATGATTTACGATTACATCATTAATGATTTTTAGTTCAATTGCTAACGATTTACATTTTCTTCATCAATTATTGTGAAGGAATTATTAAAATTATGTCACATTGTCACTAAAGGGTTGAATAACATTATTACTGATTTACAACATCTTTATTAACGATTCTCATTTTCACGTAATGTTAATAACTAGCTAATCATGGCCTCTTACTATGACTTCCAATGGCATTATTATTGTTTTACGATAACCTAATATCGCTTTACACTGTAATTCTTAGTGATCATATAAAATCAAGTATATTTTTAACATCTTTGACTCCTGTGACATACTGCACCTGTGACTCAGTCAAGCAAACACTATTTCATAGAGGTGAAAAATATCAATCTAGCAAACCAACATTCACAACTTGCTCAGATAATCTCTTACTATTTTAAGACAAAGAGAATGTAGAAGAGGCGAGCCATGAGGACTTTGTGGAGCAAGAATAACTCATCACAAAGAGCTCCCATGATGATGATGAGCAATCATGTCCTTTGGTGGTGGACCACACCCTTCCATCTTCCACTTCGAGCTTTGAAGAGTTGGACACCGATGAAGATACGCCAGAAGATATTGTCAAAGACATTGCTTGGAAATTTTCTTGAAGAAGAGTGAGGAAGGGTGAGAAAGGAAGTTCTGGAGAAGGAAGTGAGCTATGAGAAGGAGGAACTTGATTGTTTCCAAGGGGCAAACTTGGGAAGAAGGAAGGGAGGTTGAGGATGCAAATGGTGAACAAGATGAGGACGAGGTTGGGGTGGATGAAGCTTCCACATGTTACACCTTCTACCAAAGCTTTCTACTTGACCTTGATGCACTTCTAGAGAATGACCCTTTTGTGGTTTCTCTTTCCAAGCTAAGGCCACACCATCATCCGTCCCTCTTGGTGGATATGATGGTGGTCAATCCATGATGTCCTACATGGTGTGGGGCAAAGAGTAAGGCAAGAATAAGGGTGTCATGGGTGGAGCCTAATCTCTCATTAAGTCCCATGCCATTTGCATCATTTGAAGCATCCCATAATGTGAAAAAAGTGCTTGTTGGGAGGCAACCCAACTACTTTGACTTTTTTCACTTTGCTTTGGTTTCGAGTCAATAAATTGACATTTGTGAGCTTCAATGTTTTGGTCTTTTGGATTTTAGCTTTCTCTTTCGGATCTCACCCGCCCTCTGGTTCCATCCACCATTATTCACACATAATCATGTAACTTCATTCTACCCTCATTATCTTTCCTCCATTGAGGACAATGTCGTGCTTAAGTGTGGTGGGGTGTTCCATGATGTGTGAGTGTGTGTGAATAAATGGTGTTAATGAATGATTTGGCCTATCTTATGAATGCTTGTAGCCTAAATGAATGCCCAAATTTCAAGGTTTTGAGGGTTTCAAGCACAAGTCCATTGAGAGTGCTTTTTTAGAACCTTGATTATATGCCCAAATTTCACACGTTTGAGGGTTCCAAACACCTTCGCTTATAGGGATGGCAATGGGGTGGGTTTTGACTCTCTACCAACCTACCACTACAACTCAATCCCAAGTATAGGCCAAGTGTAACCTAAAACCGGGTGTAGCACAAAGTAAGTATTTCAAATATGAACCCGGGTGATCTATATATCCTTACTTCAGCCATCTACAAGTTATTTAGAAATCGAATTGTTGTTAAAGCTAACAAACTAGGCAAGCAAGCAATGAAAACGATGTTGAATTCAATCGAGAAAATATCACTCGGACGATATTCCCCCTAGTCCCACGTTGAGGTGCTATTGTGATATTGTAATGCGATAGGTAAGCTTCATATACTGTTAGGAGAGCTAAAGTAGCTAGGATCCCTTATTCGAGTGTATCCTAGCCCGCTCAATCGATCTAATCGGAGGGACGTACCTCATACCCATGAAAGATGACTAAGACAACCAATTATTCTCTCTCGAGATTAACCCAAAATGGTGTAGAGTCACCAATCCAAATGACTAATGGCACTCTAAGATGATTGAGGAGTGACGCGAATTGCCCTAGAAGATCTTATGCCTCCTAGGTGAATTGCCCCAAAATTGAAGGATTTGATCAGTAACACCCAATTTTCATGAAAATATCTCAATCAGTAGGATTTGATCAATCACAATGCCCAATCACAATAGAGTTCACAAATCAAAACCTACAACTTCCTAGACTAGGGTTCCTATCATCCAAGTGAAAAGGAGGACTACTCCATAGCTTCATAGCAACATGCAACCCGATAGTTGGTAGAGGACTTCCTAGGTCATTTAGCAGCTTACGAGATCAACAGTTCTTAAGACATCCCCTATCTCTCTCCTCAAGAGCTCTAGTCTCAAGCCAGGATCATGCCAAGTAATGGACCTTGGACAGATAATTCATGGATGATGAGACTCTCATAACACACACAACCATTGACTCTTCATATCGGGTGCTCTTTTCGCTTCATTTCATTTGTTGGAACCCCCATTTTCATACTCTTGCATTTCCTTTTTAGTTCATTTAATGTTTTTCCTGGCGGGGTTCCAGCCTGCAATTTTCAAGGTCGGCCCTTATTGGTTGAGTAAGAGCAATTTCTATACATCTCTCGCTTGCCAGAGTACTTCTTTTAACTCATTTTCCTCAATTCATGTGGAGGGGTCAATGAAATTAAGGGGGGTCGGAAGCTCTATCTGTGCCCTTAAGAAAGATCTTCAAGTAGGCGATTCGTTTCTACATGTGGAACTTTTACTTGTTCTAGAGAGGAACTAGCATCACCTCGTGGGACTACCACACTAAAGATCAACTAGTATTTCTTCCAAAATCAATTTAGTGCAATAAACGGTGCTGCACACGTTGGCTTACCCCATGCTTTAAATTTTGAACATGGAGGACCAACTGGTTCTTATTAAGCAAAATTTGAGCACCCAATCAAGATAATAGACCTTTTATACTTCAACATCCTCCACAGTGCTACACTAACCTACATAGGTTGCATATCACTCTAAAGACTAGCGATTCAATGTATACGAAGCAGGCAATTTGCAAGGAAATAGCACACTAGGATCCCTCAAATTTAAAATTTTGGATTGTGGACTAGGCTCCAAGAACACTCATATTACCAAAAATTCACCCGCATACATAATGGAACACCCCACGCACTTAAGCACGACATTGTCCTCAATGGAGGAAAGATAAGGAGGGTAGAACGAAGTTACCAGATCAAGTGTGAATGATAGTGGACGAGGCAGGCAGTGCATTCTAGGGAAGCGGAGTGATAAGTCGGAACACAAACACCGCACAAAATCTCACAAAGGTTGAGTTATCGGCTCTAAAATCAAAGAACAAAACTGACTCGACCGAAGAGAAATAGGGAAAGAAATGCAAACCAACTGGTTGTTGCCTCCCAACAAGAGTTTCTTTCACGTTGTTAGTCGAGCGGTGGCTCCTAAGTTTCGGTCCATCCTAGAACCTCCTTGAAGTTGAGGAGGGGCAATGGCTTGGATTTGGAGGTCATTTCTGGAGCATGATCTTTTGGCGTCCTGAGCGCACTGCTCCATGAATAGCTCCAATTGACTCTTCGGCTCTGGCCGTGGAGTGTAGCATGGCTCATGAAGGCCGCCATGGCTAACTACAACTCAGATGACCCCTCTAGTTGTGGAAGGAATTCTTCTTGATAAAGGAGTGGTTCTTGAAGTGCCCAAGGGATGGTTGTTCTTCGTAGTAGGGGATTGGTACTGAAACCCAAATCCGTAGTCTTCTCCTCCTTGATTGCTCTAAGAAGTCTCGGGGTAATACCACTCGGATGGTGTTTGATAACCCCAATGGTTGGAGAAGCCATGAGGATCCATGATTCAGATTTGCACAGACAAAAACAAAAATACCCAAGTGAAAAGCGAGGGTGGAAAAGAAAATGAAAAGAAAACGCTAAAGTAACAAACCTAGGCTTTTCCTAATAATCTAGAAATTCTCCGGCAATGCCGCCAAAAACTTGACTCACTAAAACACAACTCCTAACAATGGCCAAGTGTAACCAATAAAATGGACTGCAGGAATGTGATCAAAATTCACATAATTCTGAATAAAACCTCAACTGAATATAAAATGTTAATCAATCATGATTTGATTTCATACAAATCTTCCTAGCATACAAATCTAGGGTTTCTCAAAACCTAAGTGAAGAGAGGTTATTTCATAGAGAAGAGAGAAAGAATATGGTATAACTTTCCGAATATTCTATCTTCATGTTTAGGATTGTTCCTTGAGCTTCAATGGTGAAGAAGTCCTCCAAAATAGCTCCAAGAATGGCTCTAGAATGCTCTCCCTCTCTTTGGTTCGTCCCTTAGGTGTTTGGGGTCGAAAACCCAGCTCACCCCTTAAAAAATGCATAAAATGGCCCTTTATACCCATTGCTAGCCTATTCCATAAGCTGGAGTCCAATTCCACAACCGTGGAATGCTAGCCCGGATAGGGGAATAGCCAAAACGCACTGGTACACTTTGGGGAAATCCCCGGTCTCTCCCTTGAGTTCCACTGGCGTGGAATAGGGTCCCTAGACCGGGGAATGCTCCGTTTTGATTCCACGGGCTTAACTGGTGTTCCACGGTCGTGGAATAGGATACCCAGACTATGGAACTCATTTCTTCATGCTCCAAGGTCCTGAACATTGCCCAATTGTCTCAAAACTTGCTCATAAGCCCTGATTTACATTCTAGGACCTGAAATATGACAAATGAACACAACCTAGCGTAAAATAGGCAAAGGATGCAAGAAATCAAGCTCAAACGACCAAGAAACGAGGGAATAAATATGTGTAATCATGGTGTCATCATTACATTAAGTGCAACGAGTAGCTTAGCTCATTCATCTACAACCAATAGATAGAGGTGGTAAATGGATTGATCGATAGATTAGTGAATTGGAGTGGTGGATCCATGGATCATATGGATTAGATCAAATGGATTGGTGGATTTATTCATGGATCCAAATGACATTCAAGTCTAGGACCATTACGTAAATTTTGAAAAGTTTAGGTACAAAAATGTCCTAATGAAAAATTTTAGGCACCAAAACATAATTTCCCAATGATATTTTCGTCTAAATAAATAAATTTTAGATACCAAAATGTAAAATATAAAAATATAGGTAATAAAACATAATTTTTCATTCGGACCCATGGATTAATCCACCAATCCAATTGGATTTGGATCAAATGGATTGGATTAATTGTATTTTAAGTGGATGGATTTGATTGAATTGATCGATTAGATTGGAAATTGCCACCTCTACCAATAGAGCTACCAGTCAGGATGACAAATTTGCCCATACCCATGAGTATTTTACTATCCAATCTATTTGGGTTGGGAATGAAATCCAAATAGATGGTGTATGGGTAGAGTTTGATGAGTTTGTACGCATACCCATTTATTTGGGTTGAGTTGGGGTTTTAATCCATGGATTTCGGTTTGTATCCATCCCATTTGTAAATTACATTTTCGTACCTACACTTAACAGATCTTTAGATTTAGTACCTAAAGTTAATTTTTTTCATATAAGTCCTTAAAATAAATTGGATATGCGTACAAACTCCCAAACTCATATACCTAACTTTTTAATTTTTACAAATAAGTCCAATTTTTATATGTTTAATTAAAATACACACCGAACCCATACCCATTCAGATTATGAAAGCAAGATCCATACATTAATCAAAACCCATCTACAAACCCCCAAACTCATATACACTTCACTCATACCCTATCCATGATCAGTTGTGTAGCCAGGATTTCTCTTAGGGTGGGTCCGACGCATTAACAACATATATATAATAAAACTTATTATTTACAATGACCCACAATGTGTTTTCATATTCTTAAAACACTCTAAAATACATTCTGATAGGGTATGAAGGTAAAGCCTAATACTTGGAGAGGGTCACAAGAAGAGCCCGCGAGAAGCCAAGACATAGGGGTAAAACCCTAGAGGCTTACATCATTAGAGGAAGAAGGCAAGGTTAAGAGACAAGTTGACACACCTGACGTTATCAAGAGGTTAGGGGTACACCTTCTGACCAGAAGTACTATGTATAGTGAAAGAGAGTCTGAGGTGCATGGACCACACACATAACATCCAGACTTGTATAAATAGGAGTGTTCTCTTCATGAATGGCAAGCTATCTACATTTACTACAACTTCTCTCTACTTTCTCTCTCTAGTCTTTTCCGTCCTGTTTTAGCTAAGAGTGAGAGACGCATGCACTCTCACATTCATGTTTATCACCCCAAACCCCCTTTGACCCGAGCGACCCCCTGTCACTTAGGCTCAAACAATTGGCGCCCACCGTGGGGCCAGACATGACTTTGAAAAACGCTTCCCCTCAAAGAAGACACAGGAGAAGAGCACACCTCCAACTAAAAGCTCCCATTAGGAGACTAATCGGTCGGGAGACGCCCAATCCATAAGCTCTTACTATAGAAGGAATTGAACCATCCAGTGATGAGGACGTGCCAACAACAGCAGAAGAAACCAAACAGCTGGGTTGTCTCCTTACCAAAATTCAAGATACGCAAGGGCAGTAAAGGGCGAGCATAACGGGGCAGCTCGACCAAGCGTTGTTGGCACTCTCGAAAAAGGACATACTCTTGTGCCACCCCCTGCTCAAATCACCTTGTACGAATGTTGAATGCTCAAAGATAAGGCATATATGACGGAGAATGAAATGGTAACACTGTTGGATGCCAACAATGAAGATGAAAGACCAGGCGCTCGAGGAGGCGCCCGACCAAATAAAGAAGAGGTCGAGCGCCTAAGGCGCCACCTCACCAATTTCCAAGAGAAACAAGAACTTCATATGGCCAACATGCAAGGAAAACTCAGCCAAGTAATAGTGACTCTATCGATCGTGAGCAAAGGGCGCACTTTGGCACCTATAGAGGAAAGTGTGCGCTCTAACGTAAAAAACTCAAAGGATATATGCAAGTAGTAGAGAACGAAGTAATTGAAGTTTTATTGGATACTGGTGGTGAAGAGGGAGCCTCAAACGCCTGGCAAGAAGAAGAGGCTTCAGATACGGATGATCTACTTTCCTCAAAAACACATTCGATCCATCTTCAATGGAAAGATGAAATTGGAGAAAATCTTCCTTGTATCAGAAGGTGCATCAACACCAAAGATGCTTTCCCTTTCGCCTAGGGAATAAGGAAGAGCATGACTATTATGGACTCTTCTTGCGTCGACACCTGTGGAATGAGGTGATGCATGGTGTGTTATTCCCTTATCGAATCGTAGTTGTACACCCCGCTTAGTTGGAAGGAGCCCCTTGTGCTCTCTTACTCCGTCAAGGATAAACATGACGTGTTATCCCCATAGTGGAGCGTCATTGTGTCCCTGCTTAGACAGATGTAGCTTATATAGCTCGCTTCCTCCGTTAAGAAGAATTCTAGGCACGTTATTTCTTGTTCAAGAGCGTCGGTGCTCTACTTTGGGGAGCATCACCAATGGTTCATAGGATGTTCATCCCAACCGATATTCATTCGCCGCTAAACCAGAAGAGCTCTACAGCTTGCGTTTGGCTCTTTAGTCAGGTGTCAGGCGCCCAACCATGGGTCTTCATGAGAGGAGGTATCCCTACAATATCCCTCAAATTTACCTGCTTGGACAGATGGAGCTTATATAGCTCGCTTCCTCTGTCGAGGAGAAGCCTAGGGGCGTTATTTCCTGTTTAGGAGCGTCAGTCCTCTACTTTGGGGAGCATCACCAATGGTTCAGAGGATGTTCATCCCAATCGATATTTATTCCTCGCTAAAGTGGAATAGCCCTAGAGCTTGCTCCTGGCTATTCAGTAAGGTGTCAGGTGCCCAACCATGGGTCCCCATGAGAGGAGGTATCCCTACAATTTCCCTAGAATTTCCCTGTTTAGATAGATGGAGCTCATATAGCACGCTTCCTCCGTTGAGGAGAAGCCTAGGCGCGTTATTCCCTGTTCAGAAGCGTCGGTGCTCTGCTTTGGGGAACACCACCAACGATTCCAAAGATGTTCATCCCAACCGATATTCTTTCCCACCAAAGCGAAGAGCCTCTGAGTTTGCGCCCGACTCTTTAGATGAGTTTCGGGCGCCTGGATCCCAGGTCCCCGTGAGAGGTGATGTCCCCCACACAACCCTCATAATGTTCCCGCTTAGGCACTTCTTTCAAGTTGCTAGGCGCCTGCTAAGGCACCTCTTTCAAGTCGTCGTGTTGTAACCCTGATTAGTCGGAAGGAGTCACCTGTGCTCGATTACTCCGTCGAGGGTAAGCCTAGCATGCTATTCCCTTACCCGAGCGCCATTGTACTCTCGCTAAGTTGGAGAGAGCCCATTGTGCTCGTTTACCCTAGGGGTGGGAAAACGGTTCGGTAAACCCGAACCGAAACCAAATTAAACTGAACCGAAACCGAATTAATGCTATTCGGTTCGGAATTCGGAAGGAAAATATGGATAGTTCGGAAATCAGGGTTCTTTCAACCGAACCGAATTTCCGACAGAAAAACCGAAATACTATAATGCAAGCTCCAAATGGTGGATTTTTATGTTTGTAGTTGTTTTTGGGATTTTTCCAGAAATAGAACCTTTAAAAAAAATTACAAAAATAGCACCCATCCGTAAAAATTTACACTAATAGCACCCTTTTTAATAGAACGCACCTTGTAGATGCGTTTTATATTTAAATCGCACCCTAAGGGTGCATTTTACAAATAGATTGCACTGGTAAGGTGCGTTCAAATTATCTGGACTCAAATCGCACTTTAGCCAAGCAATTTACGTCTGACCTACTGAAATCGCATGGCCGAGGTGCGATTTTAGGTCTGACCTATTAAAACCGCATCATAAAGGTGCGATTTGTTTCTGCCAAACAAAATCGCACCATGAGGATGCGATTTTGCCATACAAACCGCACCTTGAAGGTGCGGTTTTGGTCAATCAATTTCCGACATGCCATGCAGACGTAACAGACGTGGGTCTGCATGGGCCTGCATGGGAGACGAAAATCGCACCTCTAAGGTGCGGTTTTCATCAGTGATATTGCCTATAAAAGGCCTCCCGGACAACCACTTCTCTTCACACCTCTCCTTCTCCCTTTCCCTTTTCAATTTTTTGTTGTAGCTCTATATTTCTTTAGTAGTTTTGCGATTACGTTAACTCGTAAGTTGATTTAGTATTACTTTTTATTGTTATTTTTTATTTTTTATTTTTATGATTAACTGAACTACGGTTTTATCGCAGATGGCATTCCAAAAGTTCACGCTTGGCTTACAGTGGAATGGTTACACGGAAGAGACCGGAAAGTGGGTCACCTACGTAGGTGGCAATTTTCAGAAGATAAAGGTCGCTACCAGATTGCTGCTTGAAGACCTCCATCAAATGTGCACTAACGTTACTTGCATGGATGGCACGAGAAGAGTTGATCGTATGGTGTACCGATATCCAAACAGAGAAAGTGGGTCATTGTGGCATGAGGAATATCTCATAACCACTCAGGATGAGGTAGACGCCATGCTCGAATTCATGAGGTCCAACAATCTTTCCAAAGCCGAGATGTTCGTTTACACCGAGCCGGTCGTAGGCGTTGGAGGTCATTCTGGACACGGTCAAACATTTGGTATCCATGGTGGAGGTGAATTATATGGCGATCATCCCTACCAAAGTTACCATGATCCTCATTCATATTTTCAGTACCAAGAGAAAGGTGAAGGTCATCATCAATCATATGAAGAAGAAGTTCAACCGGACCGGACCGGCCCAACCAACCTCAGTACAACTTCCACTCAGGCAGTGGTAGTTTTCACAACTACCATTATGGAGCTGATGAAGGTGCCTTTCATGAGCTGGATCAGATGGAGGATGTCATGCCAGCACCAGTCAGTGACCCCTCCGATGAAGAAGGAGAGAACAACGTCAGTGCAGACAGCTCCGACCCTCTTGAAGGTGCCGATGATTCAGGACCAGAGTCAGACTCAGCTAATGATGATGAGGGGGCTCGTGACCGTGTACCAGTCCCCTACTACAATCACATTCCAGACGACAATTGGATGGTCGACAGCGACATGGAGCCGCCAGAGGTCCCAATATGGGGTCCACTCACTGGGTTTATGAAGGGCCAACAATTTGGCTCGAAGAAGGAGGTGCGTCACGCCATTGAGACAGAAGCAATGACCCGGCATTTTGAATGGCACATAACTCATTCCAACATTAAAAGGCTCATAGTCATATGTCGTAATCATCACAAGGGGTGCAATGTTAGGATTCGGGCCATCAACAGCAAGAGACACGGCCACTGGGTCATATCTCATGCGGTGAACACACACACATGTGTGTCATCCATAACTTCCCAAGGCCATCGACAGTTGAAATCCAGGGTGGTTGCTGCGGCTATCAAGCATCTAATTGAGCAAGAGCCGGACCTAAAGGTGAAAATCATAATCGCTGACATTGAAAGTCGTTATGGTTATATGATTAACTATAAGAAGGCGTGGCATGGAAAGCAGAAAGCTCTGGTCGCCGTCTTTGGTGATTGGGAAGAATCATATGCATTCCTTCCCAGGTTAATTTTGGCATTGGAGGTGTCTAACCCTGGCACGATTTTCTCCCCTCGATACCAAGATGAAGAGATACAACCCCCAGAGCCAGGTAACAAGCGCCATTTCAAACGACTTTTTTGGGCATTCAAGCCATGTATTGATGGTTTTGGCTTCTGTGTCCCTGTCATCCAAGTGGATGGAACATTCCTTACCGGCAAGTACAAGGGCACTCTCCTGATTGCCAGTGGGGTGGATGCAAACAGACAAGTCTTTCCTTTAGCCTTCGCCATCGTTGAGGGAGAGAATGCTGATAGCTATGGATGGTTTTTCCGGCAAATTCAGCTCTATTGTACTAGGAGGACGAACCTGACAATAATCTCTGATTGGCACGCCGGCATTAGAGCTGCCATCTTAGGTTTAGATCCAGCCTGGAAGTGGTCCCAAAGGTGGTGCATACGACACTTCAAGAGCAACTGGAACCATCATTTCAAGCGGAAGAAGCTTGCTGATAATTTGTGGTGGATTGGTAAGTTTGTAATTAGCCGTATAATTTAGTTCCAATTACAATATCTTAGTACATTTGGCGAGTGGTGCACTGGTTAGACTCTTTCTAAAGTGATGCATGCCTAAGGAAATGGGGTTTTAAGCGATTATCATGATCCTCCCATTTCCTGGGAAAATTGGGTTTTAAGCGATCTTCGGATCCCCCCTTTTTCTGTCAAACAGGCTGTGTTTCTAAGGAGATGTATACCTCTCCTAAGAGTCTAACGAGAGTAACTCCGGGCTTTTCGAATTTGTACTAAATTGCCAAAAATTGACTAACATACTACTTTTCTGTGTCTTCCTCAGCGGTTGCCTACCAAGAGAAAAAATTTCCGGAGAAGATGCAGAAGTTGCGCGAGTTATGCCCTGAAGGGGCACAGTGGCTGGATGGACATGACCTATCCATGTGGACATTTCATAAAGATGGAGGGACAAGATGGGGTATTGCCACAACAAACTCAGGTGAGAGTATCAACTCTATCTACAAGGCCGTTCGTGCACTGCCAATCTCTGCCATTGTGGAGATGACTTTTTGGAAAACGAATGCATGGTTCGTCAACCAACTCCACTGGGCAAGGACGAACGAGGCACAGGGTAGGGTCCATGCCTATAAAGTCATGGAAGTAATGGAGAATGACAATCGCAAGAGCAGTCGACATAGTGTAACCGTTATGAATCGGGCAAATGGCGAGTATAGCGTGACGACCGGGAGGACGGTAGACGGGGGGGGGGGGGGGGGCACCGCCATGAAGTTGTGGTCAATTTCAGGACAAAAGTTGGTGAGTGCTCATGCCAGAAGTATCAAGGGAGAGGGTGGCCTTGTTCTCATGCAATGGCCGTAATTAAAAACAGGAGCAAAGACCCCCGTCACTTCGTTAGTCCGTTCTTCAATATCGACTCACTCAAAAACACCTATTGACGGAGTTTCCGTGCATTGCCTGATGAAGTTTATTGGCCGATGTACGAAGGAAAATTGATTATCCCGCCGTTCGGACAGAGGCGTGAACCGGGTCGCCCGAGGAAAAAGAGAATTCAGAACGAAATGGATCAAAGTGGAAGAACACCACGAGGCCCAAGACGATGTTCAATATGCAAAGTTCCAGGACATGATAAACAAAGATGTCCAGGCCCGATTGGTCCGCAAAATCCGGGTCCTGATGTGCCGGAATCAGCTAATGCGACATAGTTTGCTTTTATCATTTTTTTTCAAGCTAGTTGAGACTCTTACTTTGCAAGTAATTGTGTATTGTTGATTGAACGAAATGTGTATTGTGTATTGTTGCTTTTATCGTTCATTGGCTCGAATTTGGGTTAGAACCCAGAATTTTCAATCCAATCTCTTCTCTCCACTGTATTATTGATTGAACTAATTGGGATTACATAAAGATAAAAGGCATAGTTCCAAGGGGATAGAAATAAAACCAAATTGAAACAACAATCAATTCGATAAACTAAGATAATAGGAATAGTTCAAATTACATAGAAATTAAATTCAACTCTCAAATATAACTCAAGGAAGTCCACGAGCTTCACCGGAACCCACGGTTTTCTTGCTCCTTGTACGATGACCGACGGGAGTAACAACAGGTGGTTGCGGTGGCAAGTTTCGAACTCGGGCTGAGGTAGTTTGGCGCTCGTCGGTGCTGTGTCGGCGGGGAATCGGCACTTCCAGGGTCGAGCGGGGGACATCCACGGAAGTCCGGTGAGGAGTAGGAGGCCATTGCTGATGAGGGCGAGTCCATGGCGTAAAATCGTGGTGTGCCGTCGTGGAGGAACCATCATGCCAAGTACCCGATGATGTATGGCGTGGAGATGGGGGTTAGACCGGGCGGTAATCGTAGTAACCTCCTTGGCGGGGAGATGGGGGGTAGATCGGGCGGTAATCGTAGTATGCTCCATGGCGGGGATCGTTGTATGAGATCAGGGTGGGACTCGGAGGGGTTTGATGGTAGGTCGAGCGGGGATCGTAGTACGAGCCTTGGTGGGGAGTTTGGGGAGAACTCGGGCCGCCAACTTGGGGAGAACTCGGGCCGCCACCTTGGGGGGATCTCGGGCCGACACCTTGGGGAGCAACCAATGGGGGCGGCAGATTCCACTCGGGATATGGCGTGACTTCGGGCTCGATGGGCCTTTCCCGGACCCTCTTGCTTGGCTTCCTCTCGTATGGTGGTGGGGGATCGGGGACATCAACTTGTACCGGAGGTGGCGGGGGTGCGGGCATGGGCGGATATCTACGATGATCCCTCCCCTGAGCTCTGATACAGCCAAGAAGACTGTTTGCCATCATCCTGATGAAGCTCACATCTTCATTTCCCAGCTCCATTCTCCCGGTGGTCATGTCTCTAATCCGCTCAATCCCGTCAGCCTAAATCACAAAACAATAAGTTAGGAAACAATTTAGGAACCAAAACAATACATTTAATTATGTAGAGTGGAATATACTTACTAATGCACCATCGACAGCACCCTCCGGAGTCATGTAACGGACCGATGTTTGCCGATATCGGTCCAAGTATGGGTCATGATACCCCATTCGACCCACTGCTGATGGAGTGACAATATCTTGCATTTGTCGGTTCGCCCACATGGTGATGAATTTCTCCAGCTTCAAGGGCCAATCTCGAGTACCTTGCCGCCCATCTCGACCATGGAAGGCCTTTTGACTATCGGGGACCTCCAACGGAATGCACTGCTCCCGACCAAACTGACGGAGGCATCGATCCGGCAAGTGCCACTCCACGGTCCCAAAACAAATTAGAGGGACCCTCGTGCACCATTGGCCGATATGCTCGGGGAATTGCTGGAGATGCCAATGAACGATGTTCTCCGGGTATGGATCGAAGATGATCTACACGCGCAAAATGAGTAAATTAAGATAGTAAGAATTGGAAAAATACATGTCTTCCATGGTAAAAAGGTATAAATGGATCGAAGTATAGAAGTTACCTCTCCTTCCCAAAGTTGCTCAAACCTCCTCCGATACTCATCCAACTTGTGTTGGGCAAGGTTGTCACAAGTTGTGTGTCCGAGCCACCTTATTAATAAAATAATAATCGAAATTACAATAAGCTAAAACACAATGGAAAATCAACCAAGAAAAAACATGATGGGTATGAGAAGTTTACCTTGTACCATAAGCTTCCCCTCTTAGGGGATGATCGATTGGACAATCCCTGTCGGGACGTTGTACCGGTGCAATCCATGGCATATGCTCCCAAGCCCAAAATTGGACGATGAACATTGCGCCGCCGACCTCCCTCACAGCTTTTAGAGAGGCATTGCACAAGTTGTGGTAGATATTAGCTAGGCAAGCGGATGCCCAACTATACTCCCCCATCTCCTCCCAACTACCGAGGATGATCCTAAGCCATCCACAACTAAGGAGATTGCTTGCTTTTTTGGAGAAGAACACTCCTCCGATCATGCCAATGAGATAGACCCGAGCATATCTCTCCTTCTCATCCTCCGGACTTTCCTCGGTTAGGGGATGACTCTCGTAATGCTCTCTAAAGTACTTCGTCAACCAAGTAATTGACACTTGGTGTTTCCTCATTGGTGGCATGCGATCGGTCGCATCAACGCACCCCTTCACTGGTACTTTTACTCCCAAAACACTATAGATGAAATGAACCCAACCGGGCATACCGTCACAATCGTCGGGGGGATGATCACTCACGCACACCGGTTTGCCATCGATGGGGAGATGGGTTAGGATGGCGACATCCTTTAGCGTGTGGTGGCCTCTCCTTCTCTAAAGTTGAAGCAATGAGTCTCCTTTCTCCATCTCTCAACTAGGGCGGTGATGAGTTGGCGATCAACTTTGATGCCGTTAAAATGCCTAATCGAGTCCAACCGTGCCCCTTTTGAGAAAGGGCAAGATAGCTGGGTGGAATGGGAGCACATTGGTCGTACCCCTGTAGCGGATTATTGTTTGTGCCTCCTAGGGAAAATTTACACGTTAATTATTATATATTAGTAAGGGTTTATTCCTTATAACTAAATTAATTAAATTAAATTATTTAACTTCAAGCAGAATTTTATTATCATAAAAAGACATTTAATATAATTAACATAATAGCATTATAAATTAATAATAATTTAAAGAGATACATACATATTATCATAAAATGAACATCCTAAATTAATTAACATAATAACATTCTAAATGAATAATAATTTAAAGAGATACATACATATTATCGTAAAATAAACATACTAAATTAACTAAATTAAATGACATTGTTAATGAATCAATATTTTAAAGAGAAACATACATATTCAATTGTTTGAAATTAATAAAATTCCTTTTGTACACATCAAAATAAATCGTAAGGGTTGTTTGGTAAATTATTTAATCGTGTTGGTTGTTTTAAATAATTTAATCGAATACAAAGCAACACTCGTTAGACTCTTAGAAGAGGTATACATCTTCTTAGAAACACAGTCTTTTTGACAGAAAAAGGAGGGATCCGAGGATCTCTTAATACCCGATTTTCCCAGGGAATGGGAGGATATGATAATCGCTTAAAACCCCATTTCCTTAGACGTGCATCTCTTTATAAAGAGTCGAAGTAAGTGGCGCTATGTATTCGATTAAATTATTGAAAACAACCAACACGATAAAAATTCATCATAAATTTATTTTATATTCCACTAAATACATTAACAAAATAAAAGAAGGACAAATGGTAAAGAATTGTATGTACCGGGTGAGCGTTCCAAACATCCCTTGACCGATGGTTGGGTTGGTCGTACAACTCGGTTGGATCCAACGGTCCTTGCTCGAGATAATACCGTTGGTTGTAAATATCCACGTCCTCCCCAACCTACGAGAAAATAACAACAAGGTTAGTACATAGATTAATTAAAAAGCTTATAACAACAACAAAAATTAAACCAGAATAATGAGTACGTACCGCTTCAAATTCATCAACATAAACTCCTTCTCCTTGCCACCAATCGACCATTTTTTCGGTGCAATTCGGACAGAGCTTCGGCTCGGCTCGGCGGGTTTTGAGGAAAAAACCTAAGAAATGTTTTCTAATGGCAGATCGGACTTAGCTGCAACCAACAGACCACTATTTCCTAGGCTTTTGGGAGGGGGAGGGTTTAGAGAGATAAATTGTAGAGAGAGAAGGAAGAATGGGTTGTGGTGTGAAGAAATGAGAGGGGAAGGGGGTATTTATACCCATCAGATCGCACCCTCCAGGGGCGATTGGGTAATTTTGCCTTCGCGCGGATCGCACTCTTCCAATGCGATTTGCGTTTCCCTAGGCGCGGATTGCTCCCTTCCGATGCGATTTGTGCTTCCTTGGGCGTGGATTGCTCCGCTGGCAAGCGATCTGGAATCCTCGGCGCGGATCACTCCGCTGGCATGCGCTGAGCCACCCGATCGTCCCTCCATCCAACGATCTTGAAGATCGTTCCGCAGCAGCACTAAATCGCACTGACGTATTGCGATTTGTTATATGGATTGCACCCCTCTGATGCGTTTTATATGTAGATCGCATCTTTACGGTGCGTTTTACCTGTAAAACGCATCTTAGGGGTGCGTTCCAAAAAAATTGGTGCTAGTTTTGTAATTTTTTTTATATGGGTGCTATTTTTGTAAAAAAATTTTAAAGGTGCTATTATTGGAAAAATCCCGTTGTTTTTAGACTTCAATATTTGAAATGTTTTATGACTTATATGTTGACAAGTTTGGTTTTATCATTGATGATGCATATAATTGATATTTATTGTTTATATTAGGGGTGAAAAATAATTTAAAAGTGAGAAAATACAAGTAGCTTCACAAATTCGGTTTTGTGAAAAACTGAACCGAACCGAATTATAGTTCGGTTTAAACCGACCGAACCGAATTATAATTCGGTTCGAATTCGGTTTGAGGTTTGGGAGAATTCGGGACCCGGTATTCATAATTTCGGTTTGGTCGAAACCGAACCGACCGAATGCCCACCCCTAGCTTACCCTGTCGAGGAGAAACCTAGACAAGTAGTTCACGCCATCACTAGTAGGTGGTGCATCCACTTCATGGGAGCAGGGTCCATCAACCTCATCGTCGGAGGTGCCAAGCACCTTGAATCGTGTATTGATACTTGCAAAAAGGAATGTCATACATTACAAAGAAAAGAAATAGCCTAGGTACTCAACCAGAGAGTTAGTAGCGACCAACCAACGACAATTCGCCTCGGCACTCTATTGATGGAAAGGAAAAGAAGAGTGCAAGCGCTCTAAAACAAGCTCCCAGGATACCATACCTCGGCAAGAAAAGAAGAACCATAAAATGATAAGGCGCTCTCAAGATCGACACATGGAGGAAGCGCTTGACATTGTGAAAGTCTGACAAGGGGTGATCGGAAGGTCACCCATTCTCCCATCATCTAAAACAAGTCTGACAATGGGAAATCAACGATAAGGAGTGTATGCAGTGACCAAAGAAGATGGAAGAGACTGGACGAGATTGAATGAGTCGCATAATAGAGAAAAGTGAAGAGAGTAACAATTGGAACAAGCGCCTGTCTAACAAAATGGAAACGTGACAAAGAGGGAAATACTCAAAGATCGGTGATTCATAAAAGGGAAATCGCCGACTATAAAGAGAAAAAATGATCTTAAAAGGAACTCGCTAAAGAATCAGGCACCATACTAAAGGTGAGGTCAGAAGTCATTAGCGCCATACACAGGCGAAGGAGCGAGGTTGGATTTCATGAGCATCATACACAAGTAAAGGAGTGGGACGTCAGGCCTCTCACTGAAGGTCAAACACCTCGCTGAATGAGTGAGGCTCCAGGTTCCCTACTGAAGGTTGGACACCTTGGGAAAAGAGCGAGTCACCCAACTAAAGGTCAGGCACCTCGCCGAAGGAGTGAGATGTCAGGCATCCCACTGAAGGTCGGACACCTCGGCAAAGGAGCGAGGGGTCAGGCCCCTCGGTGAAGCACCTATGCGCTCAAGTAAACCAAAGCAAGTAATGGCAGACCTATATGATTAAGTTTGAAAGTAATTAGCATCAGACACAAACAAAGGAGTGAGGCACCAGGTACCCCACTAAAAGTTCAGGCACCTCGCTGAAGGAGGGAGGCGCCAGACGCCTTACTCAAGGACCGACATCTGGGCAAAGAAGCGAGTCTCCAGGCGCCTCGATGAAGCGCTTATGCGCTCAAGTAAACCAAAACAATTTTTAGCATACCTACATGAGTAAGGTTGGAAGTAAGTAGCATAAGACACAAGCAGAGGAGTGAAGCACCAGGCGTCCCACTAAAGAAGCACCCCACTGAAGGTCAGGCACCTCGCTGAATGAGTGAGGTGACATGCGCCATACTAATGGTCAGGCACCTTAGCAAAGGAGCGAGTTGCCAGGCGCCTCGTTGAAGCACCTATGCACTCCAGAAAACCAAAGCAAAGAAAAATGGAAGAGCTCGAACAATGAATGGAAAGCATGGGAATAACAGGGTGCGTCATTTGGAGAAAAGAAGAACATGGGGAAAGAGTGCTACGCCCTCGTTTCAAATTGGCAAGGCACAGAGTGTTCAAAGGCAAACTGACAAGTTTATTTCAATTTCATTTGATTGAATCCTCTAACATGAGATAAAACGCTCAACTGATTTGGAAGAAGATCGTATCGGCACAGCCTAGGAGCTCCTAACACGAGCCTAGGCGCATCCTCTAAAATGCATGAGCAAGCACTCAAGAAATCATTTATGACGAAAGGAAGAATGCAAGCACTAAGCGCTTGATAAAAGGGGCATGATTGCTTCTTATTACTAGTAGGTTGCAAAATCTGTGAAGCTACTTTCTTTTACTAGTCTTCGTTACTTGAGACATGCACTTCTTCTCTCATTTTAGTACATCTTCATTGGAAGAAAGAACACCCACGAGGGTGCACAAACGCTCAATAGATCAAAAGATCGATAAGTGAATGGAGCAGGCACTTGAAAGGAAGAGCCTGGTGCCGATTAAGTAAAGAAAGAGAACTGGCCCTCAATCGAGACGACGAGAAAGCAAGGTTAGCAAAAGACTCTCTTTATGTTGACGCCGCCATGATACTCATACCGACGCCAAAGGGGAATTTGATAGGGTATGAAGGTAAAGCCTAATACTTGGAGAGGGTCCACAAGAAGAGTCCAAAAGAAGCCAAGATATAGGGGCAAAACCCTAGAGCCTTACATCATCGGAGGAATAAGACAAGGTTAAGAGACAAGTTGGTACACCTGACGTCAGCAAGGAAGAGGTCGGGGGGGGGGGGGGGGGGGGGGGGTCCCTCTGCACCATCAAACGCCTTCTGACCAGAAGTACAATGTACAGTGACAAAGAGTTTGAGATGCATGAACCACACACATAACATCCAGACTTGTACAAATAGGAGTGTTCTCCTCATGAATGGCAAACTAACTACTTTTACTACAACTTCTCTCTACTTTTCTCTCTAGTCTTTTTACTCGTGTTCTAGCTAAGAGTGGGAGGCGCCTCCACTCTCGGAGTCATGTCTATCACCCCAAACCCCCTTTGACCCAAACAACCCCTGTCCATTAGGCTCAAACACATTCATTATCCAAACAATCTAGAATTTTACTCCCGACATATCCTACCAAAAATCATTCAACACTTCATCACTCATTCGACTTTGCAATGTGTTCTTCACATATTTCATTGCAAAAAAAAAAAAATACTCTTTCACACTTGATGTAGCTACTGGTAGCAACAAAGCGAACTTCACAAGCCGACACACTAAAACAGCCAGAACTTCTTCGACACAACCATTTCTCCAGAAAGCTCATAGATTTTTCTTTAATTTAGTGAACTTCACATCAAAGATGTAACTTTCTAGTTGAGTATCAAGATGTAAGATATCATACTTAGAGAATTCCTTAGGATAAAAGGTAGCAAGCTTTAATAGTTTTTCCTTGTCAAAGTCAAACAAACCCATCATTCGGATTTAAGCAAGCTACACAAACACAACATAGCAATTTAGTGCTCACCTCATCAAAATTCAAAACCATTGTTAACCTTTTGTAACTGCATATCCCATATTCAGTGTTTGAGGGTAAACAACGAAGACGACCAACTTCAACTTGTCTGGTGGTGGATTGGCGGGTGGCAATGGGTGGATAAGAGTTTCCCGAAAAATTTGTGTTTGAGGGAGAAATCAACAAATCACATAGGGGTTGGGGAATTTACGTTAAACAAAATATTTTATTTGTTCAAAATCCGTTTATGTAATCTTTACATTTTTTATTATAATAAATAAACTATAAAACATCACTTAAATGGCATGCAACTAGCTCATTGAAACGTATAGAACAGGTTTCGATCTCCATCGGCAATATATATATCGGTAATTTTTTGTGCCCAAGAGTTTGTCCTGTCCTCGACCATCTTTAAATAATTTTTTGTGCCCACCTAGGATGACAATTACCCACTCATAAATAATTTTGTCAATCTATGAGTGGGTAATTGAAGATGGTCGAGGGCAGTACAAACTCTGATCTCGCCACTCCCTAGTTTCATATTTCAGTAGCCTATGAGACTGTTAATAAATAAGCAACACTTCAAGAAAACAAAACCACCTTTGCCCTCGGGAAAGGAAAGAAAGACCCGCAAATGGTCCATATGCTCTGATGTTCAAAACAAATAGAGCCTCCAACCAATGACCAGAGATGTAAGGCTACAACATCAACAAGTTACACCAACCTCTACATTTCGCCTGCACTTTCCCCGGATTCAGGATTTTTTGCTTTTTCATTTTAGCAAATGATTCAGGAGTCGGTCAATACAACAGCAGATACTAACATACTCACTCCTAAGTCTGGTTGACATGTCCAGTAAACCAGGGGAGCCCAGGCTGGAGACATTGCTTTGTCTCAGGAAGAGGTACAATCGGCCCTAGAAACAGTCGCCATAAGTCCAGTATTATTGTAACCAGCATTGCAGCTCCCAGAGCATCAACAGCTACCCTTGGCAAGTCCCATGAATCACTTGGCTTCTCGTCAATTCTGTATACATGACAGAAAATTCCCAATAGGGCTTAGGTTACATTTACAAGGAATGAAGGAGTTATCAGAATCAGCATCATCATTCTCAAGGTTTTAAAAACGTCTGCTAACAATTTGTTCTTGTCCTTGTTAGGGGTGTTCAAACGGGCTGGTTACCGTGGTAACCATATTAACCGGTAGCATTCGGTTAATTTGGTTTGGTTAATTTGGATAATTGGTTTGGTTTGGTTAAGCAATTTAGATTATTTGGTTTAGGTGGTTTGGTTTCAACACTGCTAACCAATGAAACCAATTAACCAATTAATGATACACCTAATATACAAAATCATTTATACTTTCATGCAACCAAACAAACAAAACTTCCGTGATTCCCTATTTTATTTCCATGTGCACAACAAACCAAAGCATTATGGGTCAAAAATTAAATGAGTCTGCCTATTTATTAAACCAAAACATTTTGGACAACTATTAGACTTTAGGATTACGTACAATACCATGACAGCCACCTCAAACTATTTATAGTTTAAGTATTTTGTAGGAGAGTTTAACTTCCTGATGAGTGGTATTGGTATGTATTTAAATTTATGTTAAGGATTTGTTGTAAGCTTACTATATTAGGTGCAGAGATGATGAATGGTGTATTAACTCGAATGATGGTGATAATCATGGATGGTTAGTCTTATTATTATTGCTTATATATGATGATAGTTTATGGTAGTAATACATATGGTTATGTTTTATTCATTAACAGGATAATTGTTTTCATTTAATGTTATGTTATTTGGTTAATTTGGTCTTCGTGTTAATTTGGACGGTTTGGTTAAGACATTTTATTTCATGGTTAATGAAATTTAGACTTAATTGGTTTGGTTATTACCACGATAACCATTTGAACACCCCTACTTGCTGTTGCAGCTGGCTGTAAGAACGTGAGAAATGAAAACATGAAATATGATGCTTCTGCCATATTATAGTTAGAGCAATTATGTGATTTCCTGAATCACTACACTTTATGACTACATCTTATGCTGCCATGCAAACTAGTGTAAAATGTAAGTAGGATTGAAAAAGGAGAGTCTCGCTTTGGTAACTAGTACTAAACCAGAACAGAAAAAATCCATTTTTGAATCTGAAATGTTATGTGCAAATCCTCTTCTCACCTCAGAAACATAGGGAAGCTAACGATGAAGTAGATGGCATAAAACAAGCACCCAACTTTGTACATGGCTTCTCGATCCACAAAGTCATAGTATGGGAACTGCAAATGACCAAAAGCATAATCTTATTAGGAGTACTACCTACAATATTCGAGAAATCAATTCTATATTGATCAATAGAATAAATCGGGATCCACTGGGGTTTGCAATGATGGGAGATGTGAACCATTTGTAACACTTACGTTGGCAATGGCAATTGTCTCCAAGTATGCAATGAAATAGGAAAGAGCCAATATCCAAGATGCCTCAAATGCCCACCGAATTGGGCCTGGCAAATCTACAGTAGCATGCCGTAGCCTCCGAAGTGTCATATTTGAGGTGACATGATAGAACAGAAAGCAAACATGAGTCAAAAGAAAAGTTGTGTGTGGAACCTGCAAAATACAACAAAAAACAACCTAGATTAACTGGTTGAATGGTCTATATAGACGATGGAGCAGGAGTGCATTAAGCTTATGACTCACATTATTCATCTTCCATGACGGAAATGTATATTGAGCTCCCAGCACAGTGAAGAAATAGTGGGTCCAAAAGTAGTTTCCAACATAGCTAAAAATGATTATCCACACGCTTGCCTGCAGCAATGGCGAGTTAATCAGCCAAGAACCTTACAAATCTTCTTCGGAACAAAACTTAACAAACTCGTATGCCTAAAGGACTTCATAGGGTCACCTCCAGAGTAAAGCATCGAAGAAAGTAAGGATAAGCTATAGTCTCAAATACGACGAAGAATTAGGGTTCCTATCAGACTAAATAACTAGACAATCTATTCACGAGACACTACACCAATCTAGCAACTATGTTGAGAAAGCACTTGCCTTAACCCAATAGCGATCCTTCATTGCCAAGCTTCTATCAGCCTGCAAAAAAAAATTCATAAATAGCTTGAATGCTCAAGGACACCTGCGTTGCGTATGGCTGGGGCAGAAAAGGGAGAAAAGGGAAGAGAAACGGCAAGTGAAATTCACCTTTCCAACAAACAATGCTGGTATCAAGATTGCAGGAAGTGCAGAAACCAAGCCCACAAGCAAATATTCCAGCTCCGTAAAGCTCTGCCAATGAGAATCTATTAACACTAGTTTTTTTTTTTTTTTTTTTTTTGCGAATATGGCAATACTCAATCCAACTAGCATATTAAATTGATGATCAAACTGGGAATGATGCTAGTTGCAGTGAATATAGAATCTAAGAGCTTCTAAACTCAGCCACAATGACGCTCATTCTGTTAAGTGTGCAACAAACTAAAGAATATGCCACAAACGGCTCAGTTTTTCCTCTGCCCTTAATCAAGGAATTGAATCCTGTTTCAGAAAATTTGTGAAATTTACCTCGTAGAGTTTGTAAGGGACGATAATGCCCAGACATAGCGTGAGCCAGAAAGGAGTATAGAGAAGGAAGAAAAGCTCCGCCCATCTCTTGCTCAGGTTTGAAGATAACCATAAACTACTGCCAGTTGAACGAGCGGAAGCCGGCTTCAAATCTGAAATTCGCCGGCCGCCAAAAATTTCAGGAATTCGATAAGTCCCTAGCGACTATCATCGCAATCAAAAAGATGTACCATGTATCGATTTGGAAGACAGAAACAGCAAAAAAGAAACCCCAGACAATTACAAGAATGAATTTAGGATTCCGTTACCGCCCATATTTGGAACTAAGCGACCGGGAGTGGAGTCGATAATTAGGGATCTGGGGGGTACTAAGCTCCCGGAATGAACTCTACTGAAGCGAGTGACCGACTCTCCGATTCACCGGCGGTGATAATGCCCGCCACTACTTGACTATCTTACTTCTTGTAGAGTGTGTGTGGACTGACTGACTTCTCGCTCCAAGGACCAAGATTCCACCTAAACTGCAAATGTCTTAATTTCTTGATATTACTTGGGGGAAAAAAACTGCAACCATGTCTGTTATTTTATCTTTCTTTTTTTCAACAGCCGGCCAAAACACAGAACCCTACTCTTCCTAATCTGTCGTAGTCTCCGCTATCTAATCCTCGCAAACAAACAATTTGGCAAGTTGCTATTTCAAAAACAGTTCCTACCGCCGAAAATGGGAAATATGCCTCATGACATGTGAGTTGAATCTGATTATCACCCGCTATAACTAGAAGTGACGAGGTTCTCATTGCTTGGTTTGTAACTGTTTTTCTTTTATCATATTGGATTAGGGTTAGACCTAGGAGAAATACTATAAATATTTCTCATATGCTTCTATAATCTGTATCTCCTCGAAGTATAGTGAGACTGGCTTTCTCCTGTCCGTGGACTAGCTAACACACATTGTGTTAGTGAACCACGTAAACCGTGTGTCGTGCGTGTGCACTTTCATTTTCTTGCATTGTCGAATCCTCCAATCTCCCATCTGCAAAGAAACAGTCGTGACAAGTGGTACCAGAGCCTGGTTGGAAATCAGGCTAGGCTTTTCGATTCTGAAGAATGATGTCGCTAAACATGAAGATCGAAAAGTTCACGGGGAAAAACAGTTTTGATATATGGCAGATCAAGATGCAGGCTCTATTGAAACGGCAAGGGCAGTGGGGGCCGACGTCATCATTGAAGTCGCTGCTGAGAAGACTATCGCGGAGTTGTGGTTGAACTTGTAGAGTCTATATATGAAGTCATTAACCAATAAGCTGCACCCCAAGCAACGATTGTTCAGCTTGAGGATGCAAGAAGATACGCTTTTGATCGAACATCTGGAACAAGTTAATTCTATTTTGTTGGATTTACGCAATATAGATGTGAACGTTGATGACGAATATCTTGCCCTAATCCTGCTTGTTTCTTTACCGAGTTCATATGAGAATTTTGTGGATTCTTTTATTGCTGGTAAAGATAGCTTGTTGTAGGGATGGCAATGGGTCGGGTTGTGTCGGGTTTTGCCAAATCCAAACCCATGGGTTTACCTGTGAAAAAAATCCGGGGTAAAACCCATTGGGTTTGAAAAACTCAAACCCAACCCAACCCGCTGGGTATCCGTGGGTTCATGGGTTCCCACGGGTTTTTGTCGTAAAAAAATTCACAATAACAAGTTCCTATCAAAATTAAAGTCAAATATCAATCTCTCAATACAAATTATCCATATATAAAACACCATTCTAGAAAATTCAAGCAAATCACAAATTAACTATACAAATTGTTCAACACCAATCTAGAAAACTCAAGAAAATTGAAGCAAATCACGAATTATCCATAAATAACATAATTAATTGAAAGCTTCTTCTTTTCAATTAAGTTTTTCACTCTCTCCACTTGATAACATCAAATTCATTCTACATAACTAGAAAGAAAAAATTAGACATGTCTCCACAAACATAAATAAGATTAGTTGTTTAGAATATCAAATATGCTGAGAAAATTAATTGTATGGGTGTGGACGGGTACCCATGGGTCGGGTTTACCTAAACCCAAACCCAACCCAACCCGGTAAATAGTGAACGAGTTTAAACCCAAACCTGGCCCAAAACCCATCAACACGGATTTTACCCGCGTTGACTGGGTTGGGTCGAGTGGGTACCCGTGGATTTGGGTTTTGTTGCCATCCCTAGTTGTTGGAGGATGTCAGATATGCTCTTCACATGAGAGAGATCAGACATAAGGCGTCCGGATCTGGTACAGGTGCTGAAGCATCAGGGTTGGCTATTACAGGTGGAAAAGGAAAGAAGAAATCTGGTAATGGGAATTCGAACGGGAACTCGAATTCTAAGGGTCCCAGTCTACAGCCAAGCGATGCTTGTCACATCTGTAAGGAAGTGGGGCATTGAAAGTACAATTATACCAGAAAGAGAGTGCATCAGAAGAACCAAGGTTCTGTTAGCATGACAGAAGTGGACAACAGTTCTGAAGGCGATCTCACCCTGGATGTAGATGAGAAGACACATCATCACGATGTGTAGTTTCTGGATACTACAACCTCATATCATATGTCCACGAATAAAGACTGCTTCTCAACCTACTAGCATATAGGTGGTGGTAACGTGGTTTTGACTAATGGAGCTGTCTGCAAGGTGGTTGGAATCGGGTCTATCAAGATCCGGACACATGATAGTTCGTTCTATACCTTGAATGAAGTCAGGTGTGTTCTACAAATGACGAAGATTCTGATCTCCTTGGGTCTTCTTGATAGCAAGGGTCTCAGTTTCAAAAGAAGAGGTGGAGTTGTGTATGTCTGCAAATGTTCGAGGAAGGTGCTAAAAGGAATGAAGCGTGGGACCTTGTATGCATTACAAGGGTCATGTCGTCAGGATATGCTGTTGGTGTATCATCTTAGGTTCATTAGGAAGATATAACCACTCTCTGCACATGAGATTGGGTCATATGAGTGGACGAGGGATACAAGTTCTATCGAAGAGAGATCTTCTTTGCGAGCACAAGGTGCAGAGTTTTGAATTCTACGAGCATAGTGTATTTGGGAAACTACATCGCAATAAGTTTCCTAATAAGGGTATCCACCGGACGAAGGGGATATTGGATTACTTCCACTTCGACTGTTGGGGTCCTTCACGAGTTGAATCCTTTGGGGGCAGTAGGTATTTTCTGTCTGTTATTGATGATTACTCAAGATTTATTTGGATTTTCATGATGAAACAGAAAAGTGAAACCTTCACAAAGTTCAAGCAGTGGAAGACTTTGGTGGAGAATCAGAACGGGAAGAAGATCAAGAGACTTCTAACAGACAATGGTTTGGAATTCTGCAGTTCTGAGTTCAACAAATTATACAAGGATGAAGTGATTGCCCATCATCAGACTGTTAGAGACACATCACAGTAGAAGTCTATGTTTAAAGGATGAACGAGACATTGTTGGAGAGAGTAAGGTGCATGCTCTTTAATGCTGGACTGGAGAGAAGATTCTGGGCAGAAGCAGTAAACATGGCGTGCTAGCGCATCAACACTGGACCTCACACATGTATCGAGTGCAAAAATCCTTATGAGGTGTGGTATGGTAACCCTGCTGACTACTCTTCATTGAAAATTTTTGGCTGTCCTATTTACTATCATGTGGATGAGGGTAAGCGGAATCCAAGAGCGAAGAAGGGTGTAGTGGGTTTAGGATATGGAGTTAAGGGATTTCGAGTTTGGTCACCTTCTGAGCATAAAGTCATACTTATCAAAATGTGATATTTGATGAGAAGCCTATGTTTAACCCCCCCATGTTGAAGGTTACTGTTGTTGGAGATAGCATGAATGTTGATAAATAGGTGGAGCTGCTGACTCACTTTTACTGTCACTCTAGGAATTGGCCAAGTGAAACCACTTCCTAAAGTGTAGCATAGTGGGTTTGGGTTTAAATGTCAAGCCGGGTCCTAGATTTGATGACTACTCGGTGAATTCTTGTTATCTAGCAATGAAACTTTAATGTAAGTCTAAACTAACAAACTAACAAAGCAATTAAACAGTTGTATTCAGGTTAAGAGAGGTCACCCGGATATGGTTCCCCCTAGACTGCAGTTAAGCCGGATTTTAATTACCAAGTTCAGTTTCTATGATAGTTATACTGCGGAAGGTTCTTAAACAGCCTGAAGTCTCGACTAAAGGTCTTCAGACCCTCTCAATCTGAGTCTCTAGCGGGCGACTAACCTCCACCAGAGTAAACAGATTGAGGCCTTAACAAACAAAACCTCCACTACCGGAGTGAATCCGGTACAGAATAGTGAGTTGGCTCCTCGACTAAAGTCACCAACTCCCTACCTTCAATCAAGGATGCTCTATCAACCTAGGCAGATATTCTCATTCTAGGTTAAAGCGGAAACAACAGGAATTTGATCAGGATTCATGTCATTCAATCATTCAAACCTCAATTGAACATAATCAAATTATAGAATCAGTACTTGGGTTCATACAATCAAACCTAACATACAAATCTAGGGTTCTCCATACCCAGATGAATGGGAGAACTACTCCATAGAGAAAGAAGCAAGAGCAGAATCAGACGCGGAATTCATACTGTGAAGGATGGATTCCTGCTCCTGGATGTTGATCGGCACTTCTCCAAGCTTAAGCTGGCCTCCAATGGTGATGAAGATCAAGCTAGGGCACTTGGAACTCTTGTTCGTCACTTTCTCACTCTAGGAATTGATATCTCTCTCTCTAAAACTCGAATCCCCCTTCTCTTCTGGCTGAAATCTGCTTAAAAGGGCATCAGTGGGCAAAACACGGTCGAGGGCACGGCCGTGTTCTGCCTCAGCCCGCCCGTGTTTTGCGAAGGTTTAATTACACGGCCAGACTGCTGGGGAAAACACGGGCGTGCTTTTGTTGGACACGGTCGTGCTTTCCCTCGACCTTGCCCGTGTTTTGAGCTCGTGCTTTTTAAACTCAGATTAGCTCTCGGCAGTAAAAGCACGGCCTAGGAACACGGCCGTGTTCTGCTTTAGGTGTGCCCGTGTTTTGGCTCCAGCTTCACCGAATGACTTCTGAATGCCCCGACACTCGTGCTTAGCCTTTCCTTTGACGCCTGGGACCTGAAATATGACAAAATAGCACAACTCGGCGTAAATTAGGCCAAAAACACACGACTATGCCCCTCAAACGGATAAGAACTAGGGGCGCAAATATGTGCAATTACATCGTTATCAAATCCCCCCACACTTAACCGTTTGCTTGTCCCCAAGCAAACCAAGTCAGACACAATGTAAGCTCAAAGCAGGGCATGTCATATCGGCACAAAACACGTGGATCATACTGGCTTTTCGATCATTAACACATGGACAACCTCAATGACAACCTAGACAACCACCACAGATGACATTCGAATGCAGTAAAATCGAGCAAAGGAAGAGTCTCCCTTCTGTTCACCAACCAACATAGACTTGATTCAACCACTTGTTCAAAACAGTCACTTCATGCACAAAGCTCAAGATATCAGAATTAAGACCGAGCAATCTAGGTTCTCACCGGGATAAAGAGTATAGAGAATAAGAGAAAATGAATCGCTCACTCTCGACCAGTGGGGTCAGGACAATCTGATGCGAAAAATGCGCATGCTTAATCTCTCAATCCCTAACATCTCTTCACCATGAATGCAGCCTCTAAGTGCTAGAGTTCACATATGGGGTGTCACCACTAACTAATCTGGAGGTCTTAGACACAGGTCCAGATGACTGGCTAGGGTCTTGGACATGGGGAAAAGGCTTTTTAGGTGGTGGAAGTATTCATACAGCACAAGGTTCCACATTTCCAAACCCGAAAGACTCGCAATCAATCAACCCAATAACTTTCTTTCTGCTATTCTGCATTACTCAAATTCAAAGCACAAGAGCGAAGGAGGTTACATAAATGCTAGTATCTCTAAGCCAGACTGCTAAGAAATACTACTTAATGGGCATTACTCAGATTTTTGGTGGTGGCTCTCTTTTGCTTTCATTTTTTTCTTTGCTTTTCTTTCATTACTTTTCATTTCTTAAGAAAACCACCACCTCTACACATTTTCAAACACCTGCCCAACTTTTAAGCACTACCTCCAACCCTCACATTACATTTAGCAGAAATAGCAGAGAACATGTAAAGATCACTCTGTGGAACCTTCTAAAAGATGCAAAAGGGAGACTTTTCATTGAAGACCGAAAGAAAGGAAAACACACGGCTCAAAGGGGCTGACTAGGGGTATGACACACCAGGACAGTCAATTTGGTCGTGGGCTAATCCTATGCCTCCATCATTTTAGCTAATGACAACGTGAATGCTGCACATCATGGAAGAGGGAACTATCGCACGTTCGACCTCGTCTCCCAGGTAGAGCTTGAGACGATGGCCATTCACTTTAAACGGCTCAGTTTGCGGGTTAGCAATTTCAATGGTGCCATACGGGAACACCTGTGTGACCGTGTACGGTCCAGACCACCGGGAACGGAGTTTTCCGGGAAAGAGCTTCAGGCGAGAGTTATAAAGGAGAACTCGATCACCAACCTGGAACACTTTCGGACCCCGCAACCGTGCATCGTGCAGGCGCTTAGTGCGCTCCTTGTACAGCTTGGTGTTCTCATAGGCGTGATAACGCCACTCTTCCAGCTCCAACATCTGCATTTTTCGCTCAACACCTGCAACACTAACATCCAAGTTTAGCAGCTTAAGGGCCCAGAAGGCCTTGTGCTCTAGCTCCACAGGCAGATGGCATGCCTTTCCATAGACCAGCCGGTACGGTGAGGTACCAATGGGCGTCTTGTAGGTAGGGATGGCAATTTCGACCTGACCCGTTTTACCCGACCTGTTTGACCTATTTTGGGGCGGGTCCGACCCGCCCCGTAGGCGGGGCGGGGCGGGCATGGGTAGTCTCATAGACCCGACCTGCCCTGACCCGCCCCATTCTCGATCCATTCTTGTCTAAATCACATGTAATCTTAGTCAAATTACTGAGAATTTTCCTTTTATTGCATCATATTTTAGCTATAATAAAGTTGTAAATTAGTAAAAATCTCAATTTCTCCAATAATTTAACTACAATTGTCATAATATTGTTTTTTTTCTTAGTCTTATAATAAAAATAATGAATATTTCTAATGTTTTTCATATAAATTGCATACCCATTGGGTCGACCTGCCCCGACCCGCGACCCGTGATCAATTACCCGACCTGGACCCGACCTGCCACGGGGCGGGTCTGGGTACCAAGAAATCCGCCCCGGACCTGCCCCATTGCTATTCCTACTTGTAGGCAGTGCGATATGCCCACAGAGCATCATCGAGCTTGGTTGACCAATCCTTGCGGGATAGGTTCACCGTCTTCTCCAAGATCCGCTTGAGCTCCCGGTTCGTCAGTTCGGCCTGGCCACTGGTTTGAGGATGGTAGGCCACGGACACCTTATGAGTTACACCATATCGAGACAACAATTTATCGAACTGACCCTGGAAATGGGTTCCTCGGTCGCTTATGATGGCTCTAGGTGTCCCGAACCGGGAGAATAGCTGTTTCAGAAAACCACAAACACGTCTAGCATCATTAGTGGGCAAAGCTTGCGCCTCAGCCCACCTAGAGATGTAGTCAACAGCAACAAGGATATATGTATTACCGAAAGATGGAGGGAAGGGGCCCATGAAGTCGATACCCCAAACATAAAAAATCTCACAAGTTATAAACACATTCTGGGGCATCTCATCACGGGCAGAGATGTTACCTGACCTCTGGCATCGGTCGCACCTGCGTGCGAAGGCGTCTGCGTCCTTGAAGAGCGTGGGCCAGTAGAAGCCCGACTGGAGCACCTTCCTCGCCGTGCGGTTCCCTCCGTGGTGACCGCCAGCAGGTCCTTCATGACAGTGAGATAGAATGCCCTCCATCTCACTCTCCATAACACATCGACGGATGATCCCGTCGGCTCCGATCCTGAAGAGATGAGGGTCATCCCATAAATAGTACTTCAGGTCGGAGAAGAACTTCCTCTTGGCGTGAGTTGTCATCCCCTTGGGCAGCTGCTGGCCCACAAGATAATTTGCAAAATCAGAATACCAGGGGGTGACACTCTCCACCAGGCACATCATCATCAGTCTCTCATCTGGGAAGGAGTCGTTGATCTCCTCCTTGAGGTTGTCCGCAGGGGGTGCGTCCAACCTGGAGAGGTGATCGGCAGCAACATTCTCCGCTCCCTTCTTGTCCCGAATCTCAATGTCAAACTCCTGCAGCAGTAAGATCCATCATATGAGCCTAGGCTTGGCATCAACCTTGCTCATCAAGTATCGAATCGTGGAGTGATCTGTATACACGGTCACATGGGACAAGACCAGATAAGGACGAAATTTATCGAAGGCAAACACCATCGCGAGCAGCTCCTTCTCCGTGGTGGTGTAGTTCTCCTGGGCATCATTCAAGGTCTTCGAGGCGTAGTAGATAGGTCGGAAATGCTGATCTCGCCTCTGCCCCAACACAGCTCCAACAGCAAAGTCACTGGCATCGCACATAAGCTCAAATGGCAGGGACCAGTCAGGAACAACCATGATAGGAGCTTGAGTGAGCTTCTCCTTCAAGGTCGTGAAAGCCGCTGTGCATGCATCAGTGAACTGGAAGGGGGCATCCTTCTTTAGAAGCTTAGTCAGGGGCAGAGCAATCTTCGAGAAATTCTTGATGAACCGCCTGTAGAACCCTGCATGACCAAGAAAACTCCGGATCCCCTTAACAGATGTAGGAGGAGGCAGCTTGCTGATAGTCTCGATCTTCGCTCTGTCCACCTCAATCCCCATCTTGGAGATCTTATGCCCAAGAACTATGCCTTCTCGAACCATGAAGTGACACTTCTCCCAACTCAGTGCCAGGTTCGTTTCTTCACACCGTTTAAGGACAAGCTCCAGGTTATGGAGACAGTGAGAAAATGAGTCTCCATAAACCGAGAAATCGTCCATAAACACCTCCATAATCTCGCCGACCAGACGGTCAAAGATAGCGAGCATGCATCGCTGAAAAGTGGCCGGGGCATTGCATAGCCCGAATGGGATCCTCCGGTAGGCAAAGGTGCCGAAGGGGCAGGTGAAAGTGGTCTTCGCCTGGTCCTCCGTTGCAATAGGGATCTGGAAGTATCCGGACATCCCATCCAGGAAACAGTAGAACTCGTGCCCCGCCAGTCTCTCCAGCATCTGATCAATGAATGGTAGCGGGAAGTGGTCCTTCCGAGTGGCGTCATTGAGACGCCGGTAATCAATGCAGACACGGTACCCAGTCACCGTGCGCATTGGGATCAGCTCATTCTTCTCGTTAGGCACCACAGTCATCCCACCCTTTTTGGGTACCACCTAGGTGGGACTGACCCACTCGCTGTCGGAAATGGCGAAGATGATCCCAGTCTCTAGCAGCTTCACGATCTCTGCCCGAACCACAGCCTCCAGGTTCGGTGTCACTCTTCTCTGTGGCTGTCTCACTGGCCGCATCTCATCCTCCATCAGTATCCGGTGGGAGCAGAAAGAAGGGTTGATCCCCCGGATGTCTGTGATCTTCCATGCGAGAGCTCGCTCGTACCGCTTCAGCAAGGTCACCAGTCTGGTCTTCTGCTCGGGTGTGAGGGTCGAGCTGATGATGACTGCCAGCTTATTCTCCTCCCGGAGAAATGCATACTCCAAATGAGGGGGGAGGGGCTTAAGCTCCAGCTCTGGTAGTTCCTCCAAGGAAGTAGCGATGCGGGTGGAGGATGAGATCGATTTGAACAGCTTGTCGCCCTCCAAGAAGGGGCCACTCTCCAACTCGGCCAACTGCTCTGCCAGCTGCGGCTCCTGCGATGCCTGCTCACCTAGCAAAATACAACGCTCAAGAACATCGTCAGTACCCGCACTCGTTATAGCGAGTGCGGTCTCAAAATCAGCAAGCATATCACAGTAATCTATGTCATCATGCAAATGAGAGTGTTTCCCATTCTCAGACACAGAAAAGGTAGCCTGTTCATCACCAGCACGCAGAATCAATTTACCACTATGCACATCAATAAGCGCATTGGCGGTGGCGAGAAACGGTCTACCTAAAATCAAAGGTACATCCACATCCTCATTTATATCCAAAATAACAAAGTCAACAAGATATGTGAATGCACCCACATTAACAAGCAAGTCCTCAATGATACCCCTAGGATGCACGATAGAACGATCAGCTAACTGAATGCTCATCCTAGTAGTTTTAGGTTCACCTAGGCCTAGCTTTTTAAACAAATTATAAGGCATGACATTTATGCTAGCGCCTAGGTCCGCCAAGGACTTTCCTACATGCATGCTGCCTATAACAAGAGGGATAGTGAAACTCCCTGGGTCTTCTCGCTTCTCGAGAAGCTTGTTCTGCAGGATAGCAGAACACTCCTCGCTCAGCATCACTGTCGAAAGATCCCCAAGTTTCTTCTTGTTGGTGAGGAGTTCCTTCATGAACTTGGCATACTTGGGCATCTTTGACAGTGCCTCCACGAACGGCATGCTGATGTTGACCTGCTTCAACATTGCCATGAACTTGGCAAACTCAATCTCCAGCTTGTCTTTATGTAGGCGAGTGGGGAAAGGAAGCTGAGGTACATGCTCCTTAACCACTGGCTGTGGCTTGGGAGCAGACGTTTCTGTGTCTTCCCCCAATTCTGCAGTATCAGCTGGGAGTGTTGAAGCAGGTAGTGGCTCATCTCGACTGGGCTGGACAGGAGCGGCTGATGTGGTCTTGCCACTCCTGGTAGTGATGGCATCAAGCTGCTGGTGCTGGTGAGGATCACAAGGATTCGGAACAGTGGTGGCAAACAGAGTCCCCGGTGCCCTGGTAGTGTTTTGGCGGGCCAAGATACCCACCTGGTTCTGCAGATCTTGCAAGATGGCACCTTGGTTCCTCTGACCTGCCTCCAGTGAGGCTACGCTCTGGTCCAACCTCGTGATAGTTGCCTGAG